TTCTTTTACCAAAACTTCTCGAACCCAGCCATTCGCGAAGTTCTGGTAGCACAAAAGACTTGTAGTTCATAAGCTCGTCCTGTGTGTATGAGCTTACCGAAAACAATAAATACATGCCCTCGTTTATGTAAGAAATATTCGGCCATAATTCCATACAATCTTCCCAGTCGTTTTTTGGTATCTTGTATGGGTCAACAGAATGTATCGATGAAATTTTTGCCTCATATCTCTCCTTACATTCTTTTGACCTTATACTAGCGTAGTAACCGGGCAGGAAACCTTTATGAGTTGGTTTTTTTGGAGGCATTTTACTCAATTGGACCTTTCACACAGTATTGCTTATAGAATAAATCATTGGCTTGCCATAATCATAGAATAGAGAATACATTGAATAGAGAATACAATGCCATTGACCCCCAGAACATAACTTCCGGCGCTGACGTCGCAAAAATGTGACGTTAGTGCAATGGGTCTATTGCTAGAATTTAGGATGGTATCAACCAAATTCTAGTCAGATTACAGGCATTAAACATGGATGGTGATGTTAGAAGAAGATCAAGCCAAAATCCCATAACAACCGAGATAGAAGCTGTTAGCGATGCTGGTGTGAAGGCTGCCAGCAATTTGGTGGAATTGTCCAATTGCGAACAAATACAAGTCGATATTCTGACAGATGAATGTCGCGTAACCTGTGTTCCTTGCCACGAATATATCAAAGGAAATCCTCTTTTAAAAATGCAAGCGATTGCTTATTGTAGAATACAAAGTGTATAGATGTAATCTGATTAACACATATCCTTAACTTTTAGGAATGGTCAAAACAAATCCTGGGGCCTTGGTCTGATCTATGATGTTGCACGGACTGAAAAGTACTTACAAGGATCCAACCAAGAATGGTACAGTTTTAAGAACAGAATCCTCGAACATGTCAACTGTAGTTCAACGCGAAATGCTGGTCAATTCCATATGAAGGCCTTACAGTATGATTTGAGTCAGAAACAACGAAAGGAAAGAAACATTGACACTAACGTTAAGCTGGTGTCTGCAGGAATAGAAATATGTAAGATTAAGACTGCGGCTTTATCGTACGAGTCATTGGTAGCATTCCTTTCCTTTTGTGGAGTAGACGTTGGGACTATCGGACATGGAAGGTTTGATTTTAAGGGGTTTTTTTTGTATCGCAGGTATTTTGTCATTAATCTCAGCTGTCTATCTTCCAACATTATGGAAAGCAGTTTCCACATATAATAAAGGCTGCATATATCCACGTCATAAAGCGAACGGCATCGTATCTACAAAAACCTTTGGTAAATACTGGCTTGCCCCCCCCCCCCCACACTTTTCAGTTGCAATAGACAAATCTACTCCTCACAGAAGACACGAATCAGGCCATAATGATCTTTTTACCGGTGAATGGTAAACGCACTGCGATGCCAATTGATGTTCCACTAGTGTACGAGTACAGAGATGCAGATTCCAATGACGAAGACACTATTAGAGGAGGTTATGGAGAAGATCTTGCCGTACAAGTAATTGAAACTTTAAAACGATCATTGCAGGTAACTAGCTCGGATTTAAGGTTGTTGCGAGGTAGGATACTATTATGAGAGCTGACTGAGTCGATGTGTGAGTAGTTTGCTAAACACATTCTCCATTTGCTTACTTTCATTTTCTAATTGCTTCTAGGTGTTCATGCTGATGGACAGTACTAAGCGAGTACATTTCAAACGAAACTATACGAGCTTTTGGGGATGCATCGAAAACCAGATCCATACTTTCTTCTTCCTTGGGATGCATCCCACTGGCTAGACCTAGCGATCGTTGAGCTACGTGAAACTCTTTGTCTTCCAATTTTATCAAGCTTATCATCAAACGCTCTAATCACTTGCACACATTATTTGGAAGTGGCCGAGGACATGCTGAGTACAAGACGTATTCCAAAAGTCAAGGAGTAAAAGCGCTTGAAACTGTGACATATGCAACCACACGATTTTCCAGTTCTGCTTTCGATCAATGGAAGAAAATTTGCAATAGTTATCCCGCTTTGGTTACGGCATACAGTGCAAATCGAGAAGATAACAAGGATGATTGTGAGGAGGCAAAATACCAACTCAGAGGTCAAGATTTTGCCATAGATCTATGTGGAATAATTGATGTGTTTCAGCCAGTTGTTTCGTTAATGATCAAATGTCAGAGCTTAAAGGTGCCTCCCTGGGAAATTGTTGCTTGGTTTTCGATAGTCATTGATATCTTGGAGGATATCAGGACAGAATTAAAGCGACTTATGGACGGAGATGTTGTAAAACCAGCTGAAAAGTTGTTGCCAAGACTTGAAAAACATTGGCAAGAATTAACAAAAGAAGAAGTTGAAGAATGTTCGTTTCAAGGAATACAAGTTTACGAAGGATGGCTCGTAGTCAATGAGAGTGAGCAACTCGTCGAAGGACCGTCTACAGACAAGACTGGGAAAAAACATAAGAGAAAGACTATTACTTGGGAGGCACGATCACCAATTGATTGCCTAGACGGTCTTTATCAACTCACAGAAGGTAATCCAATGTGTCTGGCATCTCGCTACATAAACATTAAGATCGACAACATCACTAAGTTAGAAGCTGTGTTTGACATTGTGGGACTAACAAAGCTTCTTTGTCATTTTTTTCACGCGAATGCGCGGATCAAAGTCAGCAGGGCTGGAAGACATCTTTGGGATCTTGGCGAGAAAAGAGAGTTTGCCAATTTTTTCAAGTATATTTTGGGAGTATTTATCTTGGCCTTGCTATGTGTAATATCTTTATCACATGACACTCTTACCTAATCTTTCTACATCTTCATGTTTTAGGTATGTTTGCCAATTGCCTCATGTCATACAGCTACTAGATGACCAACCATTACTGAAACTGTTACCACATAACAGTGATAGTGTCTTGGAGCAATTTAAAGAAATTGTGATGAGAATGGTCTCGGAAGGTCTTGGTAATTGTCTTTCGTATATGTTCATCGATGAAAAGGACAAACCAGTGACAGAATTTGAAAAGGAGCAGCTAATTTCCCTTAAATGCATTGAGGATCCTTCGCTAGATTTGTGGTTTACTCTGAAATTTTCTTCGGGAAAGGCAGTGAAAGCAAGGATCAGCGAAGAATTTGTGTACACCAGCATGTACACAAATGAAGTTATAATAAAGTTAATTGGCCAAGAAATGTGCATTGCCCTTGACGTAGCTCTTTCCAAAGTGGTTGTGAGGCTATAGTAGAAGGATTTTATAGTCTTATGGGTACTCACAAGAAAACTGGAAGCCAATCTAATGAGGTTTTGGTTCATAGATCTATAGTAGATTGGTGCGTTCCCCATCCCGTTTCATGTCCTCGTACCATGAGAGCCATTGCAGAAATTTATACAAACTGTGATGAAGACTGTAAGCTACCAAAGAATCGGCTACCATATTTTAAAGAAGACAGAGCTTCAAATTTTGAAGTGAGCAAAGTTGTGGATAGAGTGAGGCATGAGCCTCCTCGATGTCCACATGTTTTGCATGAAAATGATTTTGGTGAAATATGACGGAGTTGAACTCACTCAATGATTTATAGTTTTAAATGCGATATTTATCTTTTAGTTTTTACTTTATCTGTACACTGTAAATGTACACTGTAATTCTAATTGCTTGTTGCCATTGTAAACTATTCAACAAACACGCAAGAGCTTTAACAAAGTTAACTACTGCGTTATTTCAGGAATACTCAGCACCGCATGCATCAGTAAATTACCCCCCACGCCCACAAATATGTCGGAATTTCGCGACATATTTGTGGGCGTGGCAAATTTGTTTTTCATTTTTGTTTAACGACATCAAAACTGAATGTTCTAAAGCTATTCATCCGACATCACTATTTACTTAAAGAAACTTAAACAGAGAAAAAAAACTTAAACTGTGTTTGCATTAAATTTGTTTTTCATTTGTTTTTCATTTTTGTTTAACGACATCAAAACTCTATGTTCTAAAGCTATTCATCCAACATCACTATTTACTTAATAAAAACGTAAACAGAGAAAAAAAACTTAAACTGTGTTTGCATTAAATTTGTTTTTCATTTGTTTTTCATTTTTGTTTAACGACATCAAAACTCTATGTTCTAAAGCTATTCATCCGACATCACTATTTACTTAATAAAAACTTAAACTATGTTTGCATTAGCCTGTACAAACGTGCGTATCTGAGCTACATCAATTATATCAATCAAAGATAATTTGCAAATGAATCATGAATACATGTTAGAGAAAAGTTTTAAACTTTTTTCTTGAATTTATCTCTTTCGCATTACTATTATTTACAAAAGAACTAAAAGATGTTTTTTGTGTTTGTACTGGCTTATGCAAACCTTGAGACTTTTGGGAGAACTTTCTAGCTGGTGCAAACCGTCAACTTTCGGTGTAAAGCTTGCACTGACATTGTCTCCAGTTCTACCAAATGTCTCTTCCGTTTGCTTAACCTTGTACAACAATTAAGCATCTTTTATTTCCAAATCCCATCCTATATTCAATCTTTACAATTCTCTCGTTCGAATTATCCTTGTGGGTGTACAAAAGGTGAGGTGTGACCTTTCCCTTACTAATTATCAATATACCAACAATTAAATTTTTGATTTTATCTTCCTGTCATCCATTAATATCCATTCATATTAGCCATTAATATCCATTCGTGTCTTTTATTGCAGACGCACAGACGGTCGTTGATATATATTTAAATTACGACTGTAAATTGGCTTTGTCGAATATCTTTCAAAGATTGATCAATGATTTGTCTAAAGTTTCCCAAGGACGTCAAGCTATTTAATTAGGACCGACACCAGTAAGTTGATGAATATGTTTCATAATGTTTACTTCTCTACATTCTCTTGTTCATATCTATGCCACTCGAAAAGGACTGGAACGTAGTCTATTATTTTGAAAAGGACTGGGACATAGTCTATCAACATGAAAAAACTGGAGCATAGTCTGTCAACATGAAAAGAACTAGAACATGTCTCCAATATTTTGTGCTGACAATCTTGATTATAATACATCTTTTAATCACGTTTTTATATGAATAGTATCAATGTCGTCTTATTTTTATATGATTTTTTCCATGTTCAAGAACGCAGTATTCGTATCAAATGTCTGGAATGTCTCGTTTCTATTCTAAAATGTATGGTAGAATGGAGCAGGGATCTTTACTTTAAACCTGATTCTCAGGTGGACGATAATTTTGGTGAGTTATAAAATCTTTTTGAAACTGAAGAAACTCGCATGTAGCGAATATAAACTTAATATTGTTATACATTTCGATAAGTTATCGCTTTATGATCCATTTACCCCTCTTTTGATATCGGCTGCACTGAGGATTTTTGTCTCCATCAAGATTCCATCTTTCTATACTCTGTATTCCCTATTTATCGATGGTACTCCATTATTTTCTTATATACACGTTAATGTTCTTAATCGTAACTAGTTGTTCGACAATTGTAGTTAACCTCTCAGGATCAAAGTTATCCCTTAGTTATCTTTTTTACCCTTGGTGGTCTCGCGGTGGATCAAGGCAATATCTTAATGTTTATAGTTACATATTATTGACCCATGCTACCCTCAATGTTCTAGTTTGTCTCTCAATAATTTATACTATCTTCTTGATGATCTAGGCTATCTGCTAATGATCTATTGTAACCTCTTAATGATCCATGCGATCCCTTATTGACCTCCAAATCATCATAGTTATTCCTCAATACTTCTGTTTAATCTCTTCCATATAAATTTCCTGACAGATCTGGTTGATGGTGCACCAACAATTTCTCGAAAAAGAAGCACCGAGGAGAATGAAAACGGGAAGGGGGACCCGGTGATTTACAATCTCAAAAAACGGGGGTAGTCAGTCGTCTCTTGATAGTACAAAAGCCATCGATAATGCTGAAGAATTTGAGAGTCTTAAACAGAAGAAGGAGACGAAAGAGAAGGGGATTCAATTGTATGTTTGGTCAACAATTTTGCTTATCTTCTGTACTTTTATTCAATTTTACGAGTTACTTTAAGATTTAACAACAATCCATCAACAGGTGTTCTTCAGTCTGAAGGTCTCGTTGGTGAGACAGCAACGGAAGTCGCTCAGTTTTTACACACCGATGATACACTAGACAAGGTGATGATCATTTTAGTCCATCTATATACCTTGCAATCGTTTAGTTTATAATGTACTAGACAAGGTGATGATCATTTTAGACCATCTATATCCCTTGGAATCCTTATGTTTCATTTCACATGATGTTGTCTTCTTTCACTAAAGTTTTCACTTTGTCACATTTGCACGCTATCTTTGAGGAATTTGTAGAAACATTACATGTTGCTTTGGATTTTGACCCAGTGTTGCGTTTTATGGTTTTAGACTATGATTGGTGAGCTGATTGGTGATCCAGGAGAGTAAGTATGTTTTTTCACATCTCCCTCGCGTGACAATCACGTGAAAATCACGTTAAAACGTTTGATTCTCATCTTAAGTATTTGTTTCGACATAAATTGAGTCAAGAAAAGTTGATTATGTTAATTTTCCATGAAGCCCATGGATGGTTTGCTCATGATACATGAAATAGTAAATCAGAAAATTTAATCGTAGAATCAAGAATGTTTAAAATATGTTTAAGGTTGCATTAAACTCTATGTAAAAGGACAAAAGCTGTTTGAAACTAAGCATTATCTTCATATCTCTTCGTTGTTTTTGTCCATAAAAAACAAAACAATTTTTAAATGTTCAAAATTTCTCTATCCAGTGGATAATATTGACAGAATTCAGTAAGATTAGCTACTGTTCAAAATAAGCAAACAGTAGACTTAGGTCTATTATTCGTCATGTCCTCAACTGTTCTTCATATCCTTAACTGTTCTTCATATCCTTAACTATTCCTTGTGTCTTCCTATACTTCTTAGATACGAACGGGAGATAATGTACGCCTATATAGATCAGTTGGATTTCTTTGGTACCAATCTTGTGCAAGCTCTGCGATTGTTCTTACATAACTTCCGGCTTCCCGGTGAAGCGCAAAAGATCGATCAACTCATGGAGAAGTTTGCGAGTAGGTTCTGTGAAACGAACCTAAAGTAAGGACATGATTTGTGTCTTTTTATCTGTTGTTTTACATCTCGCATTGCATGCTGGTTAGTGAAACTTACGAAATGACTTTTGTCTATGAACCATGTGTTAATTTTTTTCTTCATTTAACATCAACAATAATTTAAGACAGGTTTTTGACAAATTTTTTTTATGTATTTTCTCATCGAACTTTTATTATTCGAGTTTGAGGGCTGCAATCTGCTGTTAGATAGATGTAAAGTGAGTTGTTTGAACTGGGAGTATTGTTACATGTTTGTAGATGTAGATCTTCCAGGTTTGTAGAGTCCTGTGAAGGACTGTTGTTGTTGATGTTGACTAACGTTTCTACAACCTTACTCATGTACAAACATTTCTAGATATAGCTAGGTTAGACTGAATATGATAAACTTTTATTTTATATTTATCATTTATATTTTAATGACGATGTGTTTGCTAGTGCAGACGCTGCCTACGTTCTGGCTTATTCTATCATCATGTTGACTACTGATCTACATAGTTCACATGTTACACAGACTTACTTCATTTTCAATGGTTTTCTATAAAAGTGACTTTATGTCTAAGATCACGTGACTCCATTGTGCTCACGCGAGATTTTCAAGGCGTTGATATGGAGCTTTCATTGGAATCACGTGAAAAATTAGCTTTTAGATGCGACATCGTAATCACGTGAAATTTTTTTCTGGTTAAACGGAAGATAAGGAAAGAGCAGTACATTCAAATGAATCGTGGTATAAATGACAGTAAAGATCTTCCATCTGAATATCTTGAAGCAATTTATGATGATATTGCACAGAATGCTACATGTATGTATTGGAACATTAATGCGAGAATCAAGGCTTAACTGAAAAAATTGTACAGATGCTAGGTAAAGGTCTTGACTGCGAAGTGTAGAGTCCTAGCTCTGAGATGAAGGTGAAGGTCTTGAGATAGAGGTACATAGTACGCCTAACTTACGATTTGAACCTATCAAAGAACACGAACCAGGTAACTATGTGTTAGAAATCACTTGAGATTAATAATTTGTTGTCACAGCCTTCTGCCATTTACGTGTTTAATTTACATTGGTTTATTGGAAAGGCGTAGCAAAACGTATAGTTGATATATGCGTTTGAAAAACTCAATCTGAAGTGAACAGCGACGTCATGTAACATCTCCTGAAACTGCTTATGTTCTAAAAATTTACATTTTTTGCAATGTTTCAAACAATAATGTTGTTAATTGTTACTAATAGATCTAATTATGTTACTAATTAGTAATTATTACTACTTCTCCTGTTAACACTAACGTAAGAAACTCATTTTTGTTTTATTTTGCATTCGTTGCTTATTTTATATTAGAAGACCTCTAATAAGATAAATTAGCCCTTTGTTTGGCATATTCAAATGTTCAATTTTTACCGACAAATGAAAAAATCGTCTGAGCGTGAATACGGAAGTGTTCAACCAACACCCGAGTGACATTTCTAAATTTTTTCGTGTATGTACTTTAACGTCGTAAAATCATCTCATTATTTTAGTTGTGCAGACGGAGAGGATGATGTTCAATTCATTGATCATTAAGTGTGTCGTTCAATTGGAACTTATCCTAATGATCGACAATGTCCTCTTTTTCCCAAGCACCAGCAAGCGAGAAGATGAAGATACTATGGCTGAATTACAGGTCAGTTGTAATTACGGTTATTGTAGGTAATACTGAGATGAATTGCTTTGTCGTAATGTTGTTATACCAGAGTTTCCCTTGGTAGCATAACAAACTTCTTTGCTGAAGCACAGAATATGTAATATACAGAAAGGTCACTTGTGTCGGAACCTTTGATGTTTTTGTCCTCAAGCATATTGTGCCCCGCATATCGACTGCCATTATTCCAGCAAGATATTTAGGGCTTTTCACTTGTTTCCAAGCACTAAAATGAACCGACGTCATTTCTTATATTGAAATATTTTAAATTTCATTACGAAGAAATGACGTCATGTAATTGTAGTGGTTGGAAACAAATGAAAAACCCTAAATATATCTTGCTGGAATAATGGCGGCCATGAGGACGCAGTGCACACTTGAGTGGCTCTTCTGTATAATTATTATTCTGTGGTTGTAGGGGTGGGTTGGTCACAAAGTCATATATGCATATCTTAATCTGTAGAGAACAATTGATTTCACTGGAAGTTAATACAGCAAAACATGAATATGTGAACCTCCCTATTTATCGAGTTCACAACTGGTTCCTTCTTCTTTAGACACGTAAAAATTTCAATAACTATCCTCAAGAGACTTTATAGAATAAACGATTTCCTTGGGTTGAATTCCTTAAAGCTTCTTATGTGTTGTATGCAGGCTTGTAAGATCCTCTTTCGCCTGATTGGTCAAACTGATTCACAAAATCGCCGGCATTGGTGTAAAAATAGCCAAATTGCAAATTTTACGAATTTTACTATCCTTCGCGAAATACCAAAAGAAATCATAGAACTGAACTATGTGATCACTGGAGTGCGATCGTGATGATTACACTATTATATACACAATGAAAGTCGGACTATTTAGTTAAAAATATCCATTTGAATACCATGTGTAGCTACAACCGTGTTTTTCCAGAGAGTGATTGTCAACCATAATCCAATCAAATGCGCTCTTTGAGAGTTTTGCATCTTGGTTTTTGACGTTTATTTCCCCAGAGCTGAACTTTCATACAATTTCATGTCTTGACATTGTTATAAGTAGCAACGATACACTGTAGTCAGAGTTGTTTACTTTCAATAATCGTACATGTCTCATTATGATTGGTGACTTAGTTTTTCATTATTTCAGGGTCTCAACACTCCTCGACGAACCGCTAAACGAAAACACGACGGAATGTTTCCACATCTTACCTCTAACCAGCTGTTTTTGTTTTGTGAAGTGCTGGAGAACTCGTATAAGTTTGCTAAAAGCTTCAATTGTAACAACGAGCTGAGGACGGCGCTTTGGAAAGCTGGTAAACGCTTTATTAATATATTGTAGCATTTGACACGAGCGAAACATTTTTGTACAGTTTCTATTTGAATTGAAAATTAATACAGGAGTAAAAATATCACATTCAAAACGTTCAAGCAAAAAGGCAAATTTGTGGCTGTCCTTCCTATTAGGGCATTCACTCCAAAAACTGTGCATGTCCGTATACGTAGACACCTACATGAAGCGTGACCAAGTTTCTTTACCAGATTTGGTCGTATGAGCTTAAACTGTCCTCCCCCCCTTTTCTGAAGGTTGCATCTACATAAAACAGGTGGGAAATTCTAAGGTCATTAGACCAAGTCTTGTGAAAGTAAAAAACATTTGCTTTTATGGTTATACTGCACGCATGGTTTTTTTCTGATAAATAAAGATTGCGGACACACAAGTAAACTTTTCCCTTGCTTCATTCATTATACACTTCTCTGTATAATGTCTTTGATCATTTGAAGGTTTTAAAGGACAGTCGAAGCCTAATTTATTGAAACAAGAGACGTCCAGTTTGGCCTGCCTGTTGAGAATTCTCTTTCGCATGTACGATGACGTTGCGAGAAAGGAATCATGGGAAGGCGTCGAGGAAAAGGTGTTGAGGTACACCTGGGGATTAGCAAGATCAACAAACCATGTGCATCCCCACTTTTAGAAACTATTAAACTTTTCCTCGAAGGCTTGATTTGATTTCTTTCTTTTTCTTTCTTTTTAGGATCTGCGATGAAGCTTTGAGGCAGCTTATTGAATTACAGTCAGTTGGTCAAAGGGATGCTTGGACGAGTTTACTATTGCTTATGTTTACCAGAATTCTTCGTTTGAACGATGAAAGAGTGAGTAGTGATTTTTTATATTCTTAAATGATGGAAATCATGTGCCGTGTCGCACTCCCTCGTCTTGTGAAGTACGAGCATGCGCTTTTCGGAAGTCAAAGACTGATTTCCATCAACACCCGAACCATAGCGTGTAAACGTGCTAGGTTGTAGATAGTTTGATATAGAGCTTTTTCTTGAGATTGAAGTCTTGATGGTAGATAGTTTGAGATAAAGCTTTTGTTGAGATTGAGCTTATGATGGTAGACATTTTGAGATAGAGCTTTTTGTTGAGATTGGACTCTTGATGGTAGATGGTTTGAGATAGAGCTTTTTGTTCATACACGAAAATTAATACACGAGTAAAAACATCACATTCAAAACGTTCAAGCAAAAAGGCAAATTTTCAACTGTCCTTCCAATTAAGGCACCCACTTCAAAAGCTGTGTATGTCCGTATACGTAGACACCCACATGCAGCGTGACCAATTTCTTTGATTAAATTGGTCCCTGGAATAAATGCGAAATTGATGGACTGCATGGTAATGCATGGTTATAAATAAAGCGTACATAAACTTTGATTCATTTGATCAGGTTTTAAAGGACAGTCGAAGCCCAATTTATTGAATTAAGAGACGTCCAGTTTGGTCAGCCTGTTGAGAATTCTCTTTCGCATGTACGATGACGTTGCGAGAAAGGAATCATGGGAAGGCGCCGAGGAAAAAGTGTTGAGGTACGCCTGGGGATTAGCAAGATCAACAAACCATGTGCACCCCCACTTTTGGAAAGCATTTAAACTTTTCCTCGAGGGCTTGATTTGATTTCTTTCTTTTTCTTTCTTTTTAGGATTTGCGATGAAGCTTTGAGGCAGTTTATTGAATTACAGTCAGTTGGTCACAGGGATGCTTGGACGAGTTTACTATTGCTTATGTTTACCAGAATTCTTCGTTTGAACGATGAAAGAGTGAGTAGTGATTTTTATATGGGTGAATGATGGAAATGATGTGCCGTGTCACACTCCCCCCGTCTTGTAAAGTACGAGCATGTGCTTTTTGAAACTCAAAGACTGATTCCCATCGACCGCCGTACCATAGCGTGTGAACATGCCTTCTTCATAAAAGTTATGGTTGTAGATAGTTTGAGACAAAGCTTTTTGTTGAGATTGAACTCTTGATGGTAGATAGTTTGTATGGAGGGTGATCTTCCCCAAAATTAATAGCTATTTTTTCAATTACTAATGCGCATTTTGTCCTTTGCAATGTGCATTTTGTCTTGATCATATTCCATTCTGGAATTTCATAATCGGATTTTGTCCTGAACAATTTTTGTTAAAACTCATTTTGTTGTTGAACATTTCATTATGATGACGTAACATTATTCGTGCTCGCAAAACATCAAATTTTACTCAATCACATTATAATTTATTTATAATTATTTACCGTCAAAAATTGTTAATATCAATAAACTATACTGTTGCAGTATTTTATGCAATAACTACAACGATCTTTGTCCTTTGAAGCAAATTTAGTATTCTGTACAAAAGAAACGATTTTTTTGATAAGGGGGATGATAATGGAGCGAAAAATCGAGAGGCAGCAGCTTTACTTTGCCGAGCCGCAAATTTACTGAATCCAGACTCTTCTGGATCAGCATGTCTTAGATCTTCATCGACTGCTCAAGATTGTAATCTTGACGATCGTGGAGCTGCTCAACTTGTCCAATCGTCAACACTAGACAGCACATTGCAAGAACAACATCAAGCTTCGTCATCTCAAGCTTCCACATCGAGATCATCTTGTTCGATAAGAGAGCAGGAGTTTAGGCGGTTGTTTGCACCGTATAATCGAGCTAACAATTGAAAGATGTTTTCTCATCCACCAGCAAAACGTGGTCGATCTAATTCGTGGGGACAACAAGGTCGGTGTTACAAACCACAAGAGACTTGGACTCACGATTTTTTTCGCCTGGCAAACTATGAGCAAGATTGTGTGCCTACTGGAATGGAAAAAATTAAATTACAAAAAGCTGGTCTTGGACTTAGACGTATTTCTTTCCTTAAAGATTAAAGTGCAGCCAAAGTGAAGGCAAAATTAGAAGAGATCTATCCCCGGCTGGTATTAGGCGGTGGTTTTGAGATATTAAAGAGTGGTTTATCACCCAAAGATTTGTATCTTATTACCCCTTCACCAAATATTGGATATTCTGTCCACTTTCTTCGTGGTAGTTCTGGCCTAGGGCAGGTAATTGCATATATTAGACCAGTTCAAGCTGATCTAGATTCCTCATCCTTGGAAACGGATGATCACGCTCCTGAAGGAGATGCTCCAGAAAACAAGGTTCTGTATTCATAGCTTTGAGTAACTCAAGGAATAAATTACAATACGGGAAATGTTGTATGTATACATACATTCTTTTTGCTAGGATATATCTATTGGACCAACAGTGAAATGCTTAAATTACTCAGTGCAGATTCCAATGAATTAATCAGGAATCATATAAAAACTTGAGGGCAGTTCAATGAAGAAGATGGATTAATATCATGATGAACATCGACATTTAAAAGTTCTTTTGCGTTATAGATTAACTGCAGAACAGCCTCTTCAAGCTCGAATACTTCAGCAAATCGCAACGTAGTATGGAAAAGATAATCAATACGAAAAACGCAAAAGTCCCGATCTGAACTTCCTTCGAGGTCAGCAATACAACCCAAAATAGATTTGCAAAGGAGTCTTACAAAGTATAACCTGTCTGCCATGTTTTAGGGTTGTAGACCATTGAGTTCTATAAAACCTGGAGGGGAAATGTCAAAGTGCTGAATAAAATCATTTCGACGCATTGAAAAGAGTCGAAACCTCAAGCGTAAAAATTACAACTTATTGTTAAGTGCCGCAAGTAATGCCTGTTCTCGAATTAGGCCAAATTTGTTGTTCGATTTTGAATGTTATGCGTATTGTTATTAAATTAGAATATTGTAAAAGTGCTGAAGAACATTCGTCTGATGATAAGTATTAAATCTTTTCCATTTGCCAAAATCATTTAATGCTTGGCTGAATCTCGGCTACCCGGGATCATGTAAACAGCCCCTAAATTTTCTCGTATTGTAACTGAACACCTGTATATGTATACAAACTATGTACATATATGTACAATTAACTGGCAACTTGTAAATATTTCTGATGATGGTTTTTTAATAAAACAGAAATATTGCAGCGTAATTGTTTGTTTTATAACTTTGTGGTTACATTATGAGTTACACTAGGTTACACTATTTAAGGTTACAAGATGTCCTTTTTGTTACAAGATGGTTCCAATTAGTTTTATATGTCTCTTTCGACCATTTTATCATATATATACTTGTCCAAACTCTTAGGCTCTATATTCAAGTCATTTATGTCTTAAGAGTTGGAGCAGCTAGGACCAACATATTTAGTGTTTGTATTCGATAAAAATGGCCCAGGTTTTAGCCACACTAACTTTTTCGTCCTCTCTTAGCTTATGGACAGACCTTTTGTGTTCACTATTCAATAAAAACACGATTCAATTAGCAAAATTTTCATTTTGTCGCAACTTATTAAAGTGCCATAGTCACGTTTGTTACTGTGGAGGTTTCAAATTGACGTACGTTTCTAAGGAGGAAACAAATGTTTCCGTTCGGTGTACTTTGCAAGATTTGCAGATGTTCAATTAAGAAATAAAAGATGTTTATTGTGGAAATATTAAAACCGAGGAGACCTTAGGAGTACTCGAAAGCAGATCAGGCAAAAACATCTTTATATTTCTTTTATAAAATAACAATAATGTAATAAAGATAAATTCAAAGCAAAGTTTTTTATATTTCCTCTAACATGTATTCATGATTGATTAGAAAATTCTCTTTGATTGATTTAATTGATGAGGCTCAGCTATCGACCAATCAACGCAGGCGTTTTATTGTTTTTATTTTATGAAATGCAAATTAAAGTTTTCAGTTGTCATTCGGGGAAGAGAAGAATACGAACTTTATTTATTTCTTCCACTATTATATTAAAGTGAAATGATTAAGTGTGTTTCGAGGACAACACACTGAAAACTAAGATGGAAACCATTTTGACGTAATTTATTATTATAGAATATAAGATTGCTAGTTGAATTTTCAGGCTTGCATTAGCTAGTTCTTGTAGAAACGACCGCATGTAGTGCTCCTGTCATTACGAATAATTTATGTGTGTAAAAGTATTATCGTGACTTCACATTCTTCACTTGAAGACTATCAAAGTTTTATAGATATGCTAATTCTATATGTCAAGGAAATGCTAAATACAAATGAGAGGACGTAATTTCGGAGAGTTTTGATCAAATGGGTGAGTAACAAATGTAAAAGCAGCTGTCCATTTACTGAAATTCACTGTTTTTAATTAAAAATTTTTCTTGCATGGTAGCAACAGTTGCTAGTAGCATAACTAATTATTTGCCAACGAATAAGACTCGTTCAATTTTATCAACATTCCTTCTATCTTAGCAACCTGCATTGTTTGAATGCGACTCTACGTCTGCTATGATAAGGAGTTTCACAAATTCTAAAAGCAATCACATTGAAACAGATAGCATCACTTTTCTCAAGACTTTTTACGGTATATTGATAAATTTCTGATTTGAACAAGTTCTTCACTCCTCTCGACACAGGTACGTCTGATTTAAACGAATTTTGCCATATATAAGTAGAAACGTTTGTTCAAAGAACAAATTTTTTTAATTGTTTGGTTTCTGATGTCTGATAAAATGACTAACAAAGCGTTGAAAAATATACTGGCGATATTTGCCAAAGTAATTCTTGTTGCTCTTATGATAGCTACTAAGTTCGTCTATTGTCACAGGATAAGATTCGTACCGTTTTAAATGTCACTATTTTCAGACATGGGATTTCTAGAGAAAAACTGCAGTGATGTGAGTCATAACAGGTCCCTGTTAGTGTTATATATTTTCTTTTAACCGAAACTTGTACTTAACCCTCTAAGGGCCATATGTTTTGAAATGCATCATAATGTAACTACTCCATGCGGTCTGCGTTAAAGAACTCGAGATTGACAAACTTTTAGGCGGACACACATAATGTGTGAAGCATCGTGTTGTGACTCTTTTGGGGTCAGATGTTTTTTCAATTAAGTTTCGTTTCGTAGTTATTGCTCGCGCAAGCAATGGCCACTAACAGGTTGAATTGTTCGCCATGGCGGTTGCTAAATGAAAAATGCAGACATGCGAACAAATAGTGAAAAGGGAAGCTGTAAAGCAGCACATTTGTTTTGATGTAAAGGAAGTTTCTTGTTTGATTCATTTTTAACTTTTACTTCGTTCCCCATTCGCTGATATATGTGCTTTAATTCCCCTAGTTATTACTGTATTGTAAGTCTACATTATTTAATCAATCTTAGCACAAATCTTCAAATAAAACACTCAAGTCATTATAACAAAAAACAATAAAAATGGCTGGCAGAAGTTTTAACTAAGTAAAGGAACGACTACATAAAGAAATTTCAGCCAGAGCCCGTTATAGTATCCTATCAAAACAGCGTACGCGATTACATGAGAACAATTTATGTATTGCGTCAGATGCATCGCTAGATCCGTTACTGGTATCCATCACGTTGTAGTTAGGACAGATTATAGCAAGTTCTTTTTTTAAGTCGATGACCCTTTTCTCCCTAGGTTCCCGCTTGGTCAATTTCTCGGAAAATTCTATATGTCAAGAAAATGTTAAATGCAAATGAGAGGACATAATTTCGGAGAGTTTAGATGAAATGGGTGAACTAAAAATGTAAAAACAGCTGTCCATTTACTGAAATCAACTGTTTTTAATTAAAAATTTTTCTTGCGTGGTAGCAACAGTTGCTAGTAGCATAACAAATTACTTGCCAACCAATAAGATTCGTTCAATTTCATCAACATTCCTTCTATCTAAATATAAAGCCGTCAATGTGTCCGTGAAAATGCATAGCCATACGGCTTCAGCTTATCGTATAAGGTGTATTTAAGGCTTGGATTTAAATACTTTCTTCTTATTAGTCTGTTTGCTCGTCGAGGTATCGTTGCTTCAAGGTCGATTTCTTTGAGCATAGTTTGAATAGCCAAGTAACGTCCTAGCACGTTATACTTACATTGCAAAAGCCTCCAAATAGTTCTATATCCAAGCATAATACCGCATTTATTGTGTTGTCGTAAAATATATTGTCTGATACGATCTTCATTAACAACATTCCTGCGTCAACGCAACACGTACAGTTTCAACTTATTTAAAAGAGCACTACTTGAATTAGAAATACTATGAACTTTATGGAGTAAACTCAAAATAGTTTATTTCTGGTTGCGTTCGTGTTTTTCTGTTTGTGTTGTGCTTCTGTGCATGCATAAAATAACCTTTTGTAAGGTTAAGTAATGGAAGCTGCTGTTTCTATGCAGTAAACGACCGTAGCATGTTGAAATTTAGCAAATATGGAAGGACGTTTGAAAACGTGTGACTCTATCGTTAGAGATTATACTTTAAATTGGTATTGGTGAAACATAGTGTGTCTTTGTCGTAGACTCGTAGTGCAACACTTTGTTACTAACCAATGCTAACTCAGGGTTACGTATTCGCAACAATGTGATGGATGTTAGTAACGTTAGTAACGTCAAGTTATGAAAAAGTAACAAATGTTTAATTTATGCACGCCACATGATCAATTACAAACATGTATTGAATGAGTTAGTGGTCAAGAACTACTTGTATAAGAGTTTGTATGCACTTCGTTTACCAGAAGTAGTCTTTACTTGAAGGGGTAAAATGACCACGACAAACAACTTGGTATATGTGACAATTCTTCAATCCGTGACGAAAATCCTAAAATCGACACCTCACTAAAATTGCAATTCTAACTTTTAAAAACAAAATGAAATAACTTTTGTAAAGTTCTTGACATGTTTAGAAGGTTCACTTTAGTGGTGGTCATGAGAGGAAAAACTTTGCATAACATCAATATTTACTGAGAAAATTACTATGTACCATCTCTGGTCAAATGTAAAGTTTGCATAAATTAACTAATATTCTTGGCAGAAATTGAATTTTCATATTTTCAAAGAAAAAATCAGATGAGATGAAAAAGAATATTTAACCACAGTATAGAGAACATACAGTAGAGCCACTCCATTGAATTCTTTCGTGCCACGCATATCTTATTACGCATGTGATTACCATATGGTAGCCTGTAAATTGCATTTTGTGACCAATAGGATTGACGATATGGAAAACGGCAGCCATTAAACTAAGAGCCTGATCACATGAACACGGTAACAGGGATTCTACGAGGCGTAAAATGATTTTAAGTCATTGAAATGAGTTAAAGTTTTAAGCGCAAAATTTACAACCTTTTCTTAAGCGTCATAAGTCATTTTAGTCGTAATTTTCAAATCAAGTCAAATTATTTGTCTTCATTTTAAAGGTTTTGTGAACTTTCAAAGTCATAGTACAGAGAAATTGCTTAAATAAGATTTTTGTTGTGAAGTATTTAATCTTTTCCATTTGCCAAAATGTTTTAACGCTTTGCTAATCCCGGCTACCGGGCTTGTGAATAGCCCCTAATTAAATATACAGCAGCCAGTTGTACAGCAAAGTGACTCTACTGTATATTCCTATACTGTGATTTAACTCACTCTAAGCATTCATTATATGAAATCGTAACTGCGCTCTGTGGGGGTTTTTTCCTTTACTGGTACCACTAATCTTTTAAATTTGCCTATTGAGACTCAACTACAATGTGTTTCTCATCGTTACTACACATCTGCGATAAGCATTATCTTATTTTCATTACATTCTTTACTCTCGTGTCTGCAGTGTTTTTTTATCATAAGTAATTATGATTCCGTGTAGTTGGAGTTTGAAAATTATTCATAATTTGCAATGGCTTATTAAAGAACAAAGGTTTTTCATAATATGAATGACTTATGCAATAATCTATTTAAAAAAAATGATACAACTGACGCGATCTACATGATACCATGTAAAGACTGTTCAAAGCAATACATAGGACAAACATCAAAGAACATCGAAACAAGACTCACAGGACACAAAAACGCCATAAAAAGACGAGATCCGAACTCACTACCGGCAGAACATACCCACGGAAACAACCACACGTTCGACTGGACAGAAACTAAAGTACTCGGACGCGCACAGACAAACACGCACGCGAATTTAAAGAAGCTTGGTACAGTAAAGACAACGACACAATAAATAGACATATCGACATACCCATCATATACTCAAAACTAAATTTATATTAAATCTCTCATCTGTTTGTTGAGTATGTGACATGTAAAGAACTAAAGCAAGCATAATTTTGTTCACATGGTCGTCTTACTTTTAAACGAAGGTAATTTCAGAAAATTAAACGATATTTTAGAATTACACTACAGACATAACAAATTAGCTAAAGCAGCATCTCGATAAAGTATGACTAAACATGCATGAGAAATCATATCTAAATTCATATACCAACTTTCTAACTATTGACAATAAGCTGCATGGTAAAGGAAAGCAAAACCTGTTCAAAGGTATGGGAGAGGTGAAATAGCATACTTGTCTATGGAAAAAATGGGAATCTGTAAAAATTTATGTAAGAGGTATAGCATGTCCAATCATGCATCACCTCCCTTTTTTGCCGACGCCACTTTTGACTAAACTCTGTGTGTCTAGAAAAATGTTGATAGTTGTATACAACATACCATTTTTTTTACATGTATGGATTTTCGATAAATGAAGGGAAAAATCCATTCACAGTTTCGAAAATCGTGTCTTAATCATTGGCATTCAAATCCTGTCTTAGATAAGTGACTCTATTCCTGAAATAAAACTTGTGAAATTTTATAAGATTTAACAGTAGTCCTTTGGAATTTTACTAATCTCAATGTTATTATGTACTCTGCACGAGGTTCTTATTTATGTATTTTTATTTCAATAACAATTGTTTTTAGTCAGTGATGTATACTCAGTTATATAACTAGAATGTTCTACATAGACGTCATTAATGTGTTTTAATACTGTTTTTTGAAGGAGATCCTGAATCACTCTTCATCTTCGTTCGTTATTCAAATGTGTTTATGTGACAAAACTCACAAGACTAAAAGATTGATGTTACAATAAGGTATCAACTCTTATCACCATTTTTAATCTGATATGTATGTGGTCGCGTTCTTTATATTAAATCTCTCATCCGTTTGTTGAGTATGTGACATGTAAAGAACTAAAGCAAGCATAATTTTGTTCACACAGTCGTCTGACTTCTAAAACGGAAGTAATTTTAGAAAAATTAAGCTATATTTTAGAACTACACTACAGACATAACAAATTAGCTAAAGCAGCATCTCGATAAAGTATGACTAAACATGCATGAGAAATCATATCTAAATTTATATACCAACTTTCTAACTATTGACAATAAGCTGCATGGTAAAGGAAAGCAAAACTGTTATAAAAATGGGAATCTGTGAAATGTAAAATACACCTGTGGAAAAATGTGTGAATGTTGAAACAACAAAAGAAAGATTTGAAAATAAGCAAATGTTAAACAAATGTATTTACACAGATGAATCTATTTTAAATTCATGCAACACAGTGAGCTTTTAAAATTATAATTTGATTTTGTTTATCTAGCAGTGTTAAGGTTTAATTTTATTGCATCCTTTACTGTTGTATCTACAATGTCTTTATTGATCATAAGCAATTAAAATTGCGTGCAGTTGATGTTTGCCATTTATTCATAATTTACAATGGTTTTTTTAATAACAAAGGTTTTTTATAATAGGAACTGACTTATGCAAGAATATACATGTATGGAATTTTTTATTAATGAAGGGAAAAATCCATTCACAGTTTCGAAAATCGTGTCTTAATCATTGGCATTAAAATCCTGTCTTAGATAGGCGATTCTCTACTCCTGAGTTAAAACTTGTGAAACTTTATAAGATTTATAAGCAGTCCTTTGGAATTTGACTAATCTCAATGTTATTATGTACTCTGCATGAGGTTCTTATTTATGTATTTTTATTTCTATATCAATTGTTTTTAGTCTGTGATGTATACTCAGTTATATAACTAGAATGTTCTACATAGACGTCATTAATGTGTTTTAATACTGTTTGTTGAAGGAGATCCTGACTCACTCTTCATCTTCGTTCGTTATTCAAATGTGTTTATGTGACAAAACTTACAAGGATAAAAGATTGATGTTACAATAAGGTATCAACTCTCTTTACCATTTTTAATCTGATATGTATGTGGTCGCGTACTTTATATTAAATCTCTCATCCGCTTGTTGAGTATGTGACATGTGAAAAACTAAAGCAAGCATAATTTTGTTCACACGGTGTCTTACTTCTAAAACGGAAGTAATTTTAGAAAAATTAAGCGATATTTTAGAACTACATTACCGACATAACAAATTAGCTAAAGCGGCATCTCGATAAAGTATGACTAAACATGCATGAGAAATCATATCTAAATTTATATACCAACTTTCTAAGTATGGACAATAAGCTGCATGGTAAAGGAAAGCAAAGCCTGTTCAAACGTATGGGAGAGGTGAAATAGCATACTTGTCTATGAAAAAATGGCAATCTGGGAAAATTGATGTAGGGAGGATAGCATGTCCAATAATGCATCACCTCCCTTTTTTGCTAACGCCGCTTTTGATTAATCGCTGTGTGTCTAACAAAATGTTGTTAATTGCATTGAGCAAACAATTTATTTTAAAAGTAAGAACATTTGTAAAATAAGCAAATGTTAAACATAGGAAAAATAAATTTACACACACAGGAAGAACGCAACTAAATCCATTTTTGTGACATGTTGATTTATGCAACACAGTGTGCTTTTAAAATTATACTTTTAATCATGTTTCTTTAATAGTTTTAAGGTTTACCTTTATTGCAATCTTTACTGTTGTATCTGCAGTGTCTTTATTGGTCAGTAATTATAATTGCGTGCAGTTGATTATTGCCATGTTTTCATAATTTACAATGGTTTATTCAATAATAAAGGATTTTTATAATAAGAACTGATTTATTCAAGAATATACAAGTACGGAATTTTTGATTAATGAAGGAAAAAAATCCATTCACAGTTTCGAAAATCGTGTCTTAATCATTGACATTCAAATCCTGTCTTAGATAGGTGATTCTCTATTCCTGAGTTAAAACTTCTGAAACTTTATAAGATTTAGCAGCAGTCCTTTGGAATTTGACTAATCTCAATATTATTATGTACTCCGCATGAGGTCTTATTTATGTATTTTATTTCTATAACAATTGTTTTTAGTCAGTGATGTATGCTCAGTTATATAATTAGAATCTTGTAAAAAGACGTCATTAATGTGCTTTAATACTGTTTATTGAAGTAGATCCTGACTCATTTTTCATCTTCGCTCGTTATTTTAATGTGTTCATGTAACAAAACTCAGATGGATAAAAAATTAATGTTACAATAAGGCATTAACGATGATCGCCATTTTTAATCTGATATGTATGTGGTCGTGTTGTTTATATTAAATCTCTCTTCCGTTTGTTGAGTATGTGACATGTAAAGAACTAAAGAAAGCATAATTTTGTTCGCACCGTCGTCTTACTTCTAAAACGAAAGTAATTTTAGAAAAATTAAGCTATATTTTAGAATTACACTACAGACATAACAAATTAGCTAAAGCAGCATCTCGATAAAGTATGACTAAACATGCATGTTAAATCATATCTAAATTGATATACCAAATTTCTAACTATTGACAATAAGCTGCATGGTATCGGAAAGCAAAACACGTTCAAAGGTATGGGAGAGGTGAAATAGCGTACTTGTCTATGGAAAATATGGAAATCTGTGAAAATTTATATAGGAGGGATAACATGTCCAATGATGCATCACTTCCCTTTTTGCCGACGCCACTTTTGACTAATCGCTGTGTGTCTAACAAAGTGTTGTTAATTGTATTGAGCAAACCATTCATTTTAAAAGTAAGAACATTTGTAAAATAAGCAAATGTTGAACACAGGAAGAATGTATTTATACAGAGAAAAAACTCGAGCGAATCTATTTTTGTGAAATTATGATTCATGCAAAACAGTTTGCTTTTAAATTTATACTTTTAATCATGTTTGTTTAACAGTTTTAAGTTTTACTTTCATTGCATCATTTACTGTTGTATCTACAGTGTCTTTATTGATCATAAGTAATTATAATTGCGTGTAGTTGATGTTTGCCATGTATTTTTAATTTACAAAGGTTTCTTCAATAACAAAGGTTTTTTATAATAAGAACTGACTATTTAAGAATATACATGTATGGAATTTTTGATTAATGAAGGAAAAAATCCATTCACAGTTTCGAAATTCGTGTCTTAATCATTGGAATTCAAATCCTGTCTTAGATAGGGGATTTGCTATTCCTGAGTTAAAACTTGTGAAACTTTTTAAGATTTAGCAGTAGTCCTTTGGAATTTGACTTATCTCAATGTTATTATGTACTCTTCATGAAGTTCTTATTTATGTATTTATATTTCAATAACAATTGTTTTTAGTCAGTGCTGTATACTTAGTTATGTAACTAGAATGTTCTACATAGACGTCATTAATGTGTTTTAAAACTGCTTGTTGAAGGAGATCCTGACTCTTTATCTTCGTTTGTTATTTAAATGTGTTAATGTAACAAAACTCATATGGATATAAAGTTGATGCTCATTAATGAATGAATTATGATCACCATTTTTTAACTGATATGTATGTAGTCGCGTTTTTTATATTAAATTTCCCATCTTTTGTCAGGTACGTAACATGTAAAGAACTAAAGCAAGCATAATTTTGTCCACACGATCGTCGTATATGAAGTCTTATTTCTAAAACAAAGTAATTTTACGTAAGTTAACCGAGATTTTGTATTTACATTTCTAACTTAACAATTTTTATACTGAAGCATTGCGTAGTATGAAGTATGACTATGAAGAATTTAGTAAATTGTACGAGACTTACCTGAAGTTGAACGATATGCAGGAAGGCAGTAATATGATGGTTGGGCGTGTAATCTCTGCTCTGTAGATGCTGATAGAATCCCAATCGGACTTTAACTTCAGGTAAGCTCGTTCAATTTCCTAATTCTATTAGCATCTACCGCAGAAATCCCACGAGACTTGAAAGTCATGTGGACACACTTCATGCCTACACGCAAATACGACATTAAGTTATAAACTTATTTTAATTAGAGATTTGTCAAACATACCCAGAAATAGTAACAAATATGAATTTAAAGTATTTCCTTCTCTTGCACTATACATGCAAGTATATGTGTTCTGAGCTCCATGCCAAGTTTAACAAAAGAGAATTCTCATCCAATATCTTTCGTATTGGGACGCTGAAAGAATGGCACTCCTAAACTCTGCATCGCGACGCTGAGACACAACGTTCTTATTGTAAAACCGATGAAAAACGCAATCAGTCTTCCATCCTGCACCTTTCAGTATAGAGTTTATCAAAACATCACATTGCTTCCCTTTACAGGTGGCTGCGGCTCGTCTACTATGTGGTTTGAACGTTTCTATATCAATTCTTGCAGCTTGCATGACAATCTTTATCCAACGAGATATAGTTGACTTTGATACTTTATGAAAAGGTCGAATTGTGCTAAGAAGTAGTTGATTTTCCTGACCCCACATAGGAGCAGTGCGTTTAATATATTCTTCCATCACTGAGGCAACACATAGTCGGTGATCGGCAGGGATTTTGATATCACTAAAGTAGGTTGAATGCGTGTTGGTCCAGAGTCTTTGACAAGTTGGTCGATATAGAAGGTGTATGAGTCCTCTTCCTTCTTTACAGTTAAGAGTTTCATGAGGTGGATTGATTAGGCACGCTGCCCTGTGACTAATGCACAGAGCATTACCAACTTATGAGTTAGCTGTTGTAGGGTTAAGTCTTCTACTGCGGGATATGTCTTTAAATACTCTAATACAATGGAGGCGTCCCAGGTCACTTGATATCTTGGTAGTGCTGGTCTAGAATGGAACACTTCCTACATAAATCTCTGAACCATATGATGTGTACCAATTCCCTTTAGTAATAACGAATAAAGATAATATACTTCGAGCAGTGTTTATGCAACTGTAACTCATCCCTTGGTCAAATAGATTCTGTAAAAAACTCTAGAACTATCGGTAATGTTGGATGAAGGGGATCTGCATTCCGTTTATTAACATAGAGTTGCCACTTGTTAAGGCACACCTGATATTTTTCTGTGTTCCTGGCCGCCAGGAATTAAGTATTTTTGCTTGAGCCTGTGGTGAAATTCTCTTACTTGAAAGTGATCTCCGGATAAGAGACAAGCTATCAGTCTAAGTCTCCCTTTGAGTAGATGTTCTTTTGTTTGATTGGATGGTAAGCTCACGTTGCTTTTGTTTTGGGGTAGGAGAATGGGTTGATGAATCATTAATCTTTCCAGGATCGGATACCAGGATTGAGTTGGCCAATTCGGTACGATGAGAATTGTCCGTGCTTGGGCCATTTCTACTTTATGTAAAACTTTTGATATAACACTAAAAGGTGAAAAAGCATAATGAAACAATTTACTCCAATCAATGCAAAATGCGTCAATAGCTCGCGCCTGTGGATCTGGGTGCCACGAGACATAGGGTTTAAGTTGATAGTTTAGTCTAGAAGCAAACATGTCAACTTCTGGGGTCCCAAAATATGCTGTTATTTCAGGAAAATATGCAGTATCAAGCTTCCATTCTTTGGAATCATTAAATGTTCTGTAAGCTTTGTCCGCCACTACATAAAGTTTCCCAGGGATATAGCTGACAGTTTACTACATGTCCCTGGTTCTTCACCACGCCAATACTTCCCTTCAATTTTATTGCAAGGGGGAGAGTGACAGCCCCCCATGTGGTTAATATATGCAAGGGCAGTGGTATTGTCAGTCATTACTTTAATGTGGGTGTGGGCTAGATCTCTACAGAGAGATTATAGCCCAAACAGTATTGCTTTAAGTTTGAGGCAGTTAATGTGCGAGTCTTTTGCGGCGATTGACCATACGCCTCCGGTGGAATATTTGCTAATACTTACGCCTTATCCCTTGGTAGAGGCGTCCGTATACAATACGTGGTCAATCTTGCCATGTTTCAGATGTTTTTTGGACTCATATGCATTATTAATCCACCAAGATACGTCCTCCAGCGCCGAAGGAGAGAGTTTCAATGTCAAATCAAAGTTACCCCTATTACACTTAAGGGCTGTTGTTTTGTCCCTATCGAGATCACGATAAAACAGTGGGCCATATTCAACGCCAGGGAAACAAGCTACCATCATACCAATTAGCTTGGTCACTTCCCGTATGCTAGGAGAATCAGATTTTAGCACCCCCCTGGCAACCTCGCATAATTTGTTGTGTTTCTCTATGGATATAGAGATAGTCATATCTATTGAATTTAACACAAACCCTAAATGTTGTAAAATCTGTGTGGGTTCTTTAACAGATTTATCTTTATGGGGTAGAAATCCTAACTTCTGAAACAAATGTAGAGTGTCATGTACGTTTTGCTCGCATTCTGACTAGGAGTAGCTCACTAAAAAAGAGTCATCAATGTAACGGCTAGAAATGTGCCCAAGCTCCTTCAGCTTAGAATATACAGGCTTGAGTATCTTTGTAAATAAACGTGGAGCGGAAGATAATCCTTGAGCAAGGCATGTGAATTGGTACAGATTACTTTTCCACATAAATTTTAAGTATTTTTGATGCTCCATGTGTATTGGTATTGAGTAATAGGCATCTCTAAGGTCAACGGATGCCATGTAGCACCCAGGTCGCATGAGCTGAGTACAAATATGGATAGATTCCATTTTAAAGTGGTGATATGTTACAAATGTGTTGAGCTCTTTTAGTTTTAATATCATTCTAAAAGATCCATCTTTCTTTGCTCTCAGAAGGATATTGGAGATAAACTCGCCCTGTTCATGCATGCTTGTAAGAATGATACCTTTCTATAGAAATTATGTAATTTGACGATCAACATTTTGGACTTCCGAAGGAGGCATTTTTATAGAGTTGGGTTGTTTCAGCTGGACTGGGTCTATAAGAAAATCAATCTTGTATCCGCTTACAGCTGATAAAATGGAAGAATCGTGAGTTAGCTCCCTCCACTTCCCAATAAATTGTTGTATCCGGCCTGCAACTATACTACAATCATTGTCTCCCCCCAGATATGATAGAAGTACTACACCCGCGTTTACTAAATCTTACATGGTCGAGAATAGGAGTCACTGCTTCTTAGTGTTTTTCCCCTGTCTCGACTTTCCTCTTGGGTTGGTTTTGATAATAGTTGCGTCGTTGCGGTCGGCTTTGCAAATGACAGCCCCGATGGTTAAATACATTATCTAACCACAGAAAAAGAGTTTGCCGCGCAAACTCAGTGGTTGTGTAAGTGTTTTGTCCTGTATTGTTTTCTACATTTTTTTTGTCGTTCTACACAGCAGGATGGCAAATTATTTTATGGATTATTTGTATATCACCAAACACGCCATCAGTAATGGCGGTGAGCAAGGTAGAGAATGACCAATGTGTGCATGCGTAGTATCTCTCGTGGGATCTCTGCGGTAGATGCTAATAGAATCAATGTTTATTTCCATTCTTTATGAAAATCGTTTGAATGATTCTATTAGTGATTTTTAAAGCTATATTTAATACCACGACTGGAAAGTAGGTTTCATTTTTTGTTTCAAATCATTTACTATAAAAATTGCGGCTTGACATTAACAGAAGCCACGTCATAATGTGACATTTCTTTCTAAATAAATTAAACTTAAGTAAACAGTACAATGTACAAATGTAAGGTAAGGATAAGGTTCCAGGGGTCAAAATGAACTCATGATAACGCATATATTTCATCATTAATCATTATTTTTTAATATAATTACACTTTGATAAACAATGCAATGTATAAATGTAAAGTAAAGATTATGTTCAAGTGGTCAAAATGAACGTCAGATAACGTACATATTTCATCATCATTCATTGTTTTTTAATATAATAACACTTTAGTAAACAATACAATGTATAAATGTAAAGTAAAGATTAGGTTCAAGTGATGAAAATGAACGTCAGATAACGTACATGTTTCATCATCATTCAATTTGCACGTAATTTATTCTTAGATGAACTTTGATTTAGCATGTACACTGAGAAACTGAAATCAAGATACTTGTTTTGTTTTCCAACGTGTCTAACTGTTTTAGTTACTTGAATTAAATCGGGTAACAACACAAAGTCGAGATATTTCACTGACTGTCAGGCCAGCCCCGCAGTGAGGTGATAGGCAAGGGAGCGTTTTGCCTTGGGCCAGTAATATAATAGGGGCCGGCGCCTCCCCATTTGGACACATGAAAATTGCAAAATTAAAGTTTATAGAAAAAGTAATGAATGATTTGTGTATTATTTGTACTTTTCTTACGTTATCTCATCATGCAGAAGACATTCATCAATTGTTAAGTTTTTAAAATTTCTCGTAGCAAACGAAATCACGCTATAAGTGTTATGAATATGAGCAGGCATGTGGCTAGGATGTAAAATTTTGGGGAGCAGCAACCTTTTTTGGGGGGGGGGGAGGGAGCAATTGTAGACGTCAAGTTATACTGTATTATAACAATAATATAATTTATTACTAGTTAGGTCTTGTGGTTAGCCGCTGTGCATGCGCGGCTAACCACTATGCCAAACTGAAAAAGTGTCTGAGTGAGGCAGTGAGGCAGGCAGTGTTTGTTTGTAGTGATATCCTCGGCTGTGTCATCGGTGATAGTCTCATATGTGAACGATCACGAATAGAATTGTTTTAAGTAAAGTCAATACAATGTTATTTCCATAATTTCGTAAAAGCACTATTGATAATGTGCATTTAATATAAACGACAAGTTGCAGCTGAAAATATCATTAATTTACACGCTTTACTGGTGATTACAGAGGTCAAATTTATCTCGTTTGGACAAAAAATACAAGGAACTTGATACTCTGTGCAATCCGTACTTGTATTTTGTTCTGTATTTTATTCATATGTCGCGTTGTTCATCTCTCGCCCTGTGTTCTGTGTTTTGGTGAGGAAAATGTAAAGCAGATAGGAGATAGTTTTCTTTATTTTCATTTCAATTAGTAATGACGACGATTTGGATTTAACAGATTGTCAAAAATGACGAAGAGTTTAATTATATGATTAGAGTCAAGCTATGGTCCTATGGGGGACTACTGCAGCTTAGCGGACACATTGGATGCTGACCCAAATCCTACCCTATAATCCCAAGAAAAAACGAGCCCGCAGTGAAAAAACAAGCGCTTCCGGTGTCCGCTAAACTGCAGTCTAGCAAAAATATAAATTGGAACAGAATTATCAGCAATATAGTCCTATCAAGATGTTAATAAGCAAACATTCATACAACATAGCAAACCAGTTTCATATATCCTGTTAAAAGAACGACGTATCTCTTCACCACACGATTGTTAGACAAATAAGATATATTATTTATTAACTAGGAGTTACTATTGCAAGGTAAGTTCTGCCTCTTCCACAAAGTAGCGAAAATATTATCATTTTAAGTGTTTTTTCATTGTATCAAGTCTACTATTTTAATGCCTTGATGTAAGATCAAATACTGGGTCATGGCACTTGGCAAAGAACACAATTTTTATCGAGAGAAAGAAATAAATCGCACAAGTCTTTATAAATGAGTTGCAATGCTATTTTTAATTTATCCTTTTAACTTTTGTGAACATTTTGTACATTTTAAATTATACCTTTTTTCACAAATTCATTCCTCATTTCTAGAATAAGAAATGGCTTCGCCACCTAAAAAATTAAAGATTGAGGAAAATGGATCTCGTTTGAGTAAACTCATAATCAATAAAGGAACCCAAGCCTTAAAAACAACATTGCAATCTTTATTAAAGCCATCAAGTTTAGCTGGTAAACTTAAAGATCCCTCTACAAAGAAGACACTAACATCTTTGAAATTTAAAGTCATCAAGAAGGAGCAATGGGATCTTCTTTACCCGTCAATTGGTGACCCTGACATTGAAAACTTTGACATCACATTATTAACTGTCTTATTGCGAAATATATGTGGTCTAAAAGCTCCACATGGTGGATGGGATAATCTTCCTTCCTCTTCAGAAACCTCAATCTCAGATAATATTGCAAGAATAAAGTTTTATCGAAACAAAGTGTACGGTCACATAACTACAACTAGTGTAAATGACAGTAAGTTTGAGAAGTTGTGGCAGGAAATTTCAAAAGCATTGGTTGGTTTGGGTATTCAACAAACTGAAATAGATGAAGTAATGATAGCTCCCCTCACTACCGATGAGGCATATTATATTGAAATGTTAAAAGAATGGTATAAAACAGAGGAGAAGTTAATCGATGTCGCTGAAGAAATCAAAAAAGATGTGAAAGTAAATAAAAGAAATGTTGTAGAGATTAAACAAGAGATGGCAACAAAATTTACAAACATAAATGATGATGTAAAGAAAACAAAAGCTGATGTATCACGAGTAAAAAAAATGTTACAGGACAAAACATATTCAGATGTTGAAAAGCTTGGAAAGTGTAACTTCAACGGTCTTATAAAAGATCTTAACAAAAAATACTTACCTGGCACTAGGCAATGGTTATTTAAAAAACTCGACAGTTGGTTTAACAATAGAACTGAAGATGCTTATAATGTCACGATTTTAATTGCTGGTCCTGGAGTTGGTAAAAGTGTGTTTGCAGCTGAGGTGTGTCGACGATATGCTGAAAAGAAGAAACTTGCTGCTTGTCATTTCTGCAGATATAATAGATCAGATTATAGAAATCCTCGAATGTTGATAGAATCATTGGCTAGTAGCATGTGTGATACAATATCAGATTTCAAATCTAGACTAAATAAAGAATTACAGAGAAACCATTCCAAAAAATCAATCGCCGATGCATTCCTTGTTTTATTAAATAATCCATTGCATTCATTTAAAGATCATGAACCAATGCTTTTGGTCATTGATGCATTAGATGAAAGCCAAGTTAAAGGCAAAAGTGAATGGTTGGAATTGATTGCAGAAGAGTTTGGCCGACTGCCTAAATGGATTAAAATCTTCATCACCAGTCGTCCAGAACTTCCTGTTCAAAAGAAGTTGAAAGACATGAATCCTGTGGAAATTACAACTCGTCCTCGTGATGAAAACAACGAAGAAGACCTGCACAAGTATTTGAGACATCAGTTGAATGATCGGGTGCAAAAAGATCACTACCTTCTTCAGTCATTAGTTAAAAAATGTGAGGGATCGTTTCTTTATGCTTATCATGCACAACTGAGCTTGAAAGAAGAAAAAATTGAACTTACAGACGAGAATATTGAACAATTGGTCCCTAGTGGGTTAAACGGTGTTTACACAAAGCAATTCAAAAGAGTAAAAAAATTGTTAACGAAGAAAAGTAGCAGAAATTCTGTTATCACAGAAACTACTTTCATCCAATTTCGTGAATTGTTGGCTGCCTGTCGGGAGTTTTTGCCATTAACTTTACTGCTTAGCTGTTTAGGTTTTTCTGGTGACATCAAGTTTGAAGTCCGCAGTAAAATCATTGAACTGTTATCTCAAATTTTGCCAGTTTACGATAATTGTTTAACCGTGTATCACAAATCTCTAATTGATTGGTTGAAATCAGATGGTTACGAAGAGCATGAGTTTACAGTTAATCCAGTAAATGGTCATATGCTCTTATGGCATGCTTGTGAGAAAGTGTTTGAGCAAATCTTGTCGATGAACATTTTTGAAGATCAGATGAACACTGCTATGATTAATTATGCTTTGAAGAATGGAATCTATCATATGTCAAAATGTGGCGAAAACGTTGACGAAAACTGGTTAGTAAATGTCAAAGTGGTTTATGCGATTTTAATGTGTGCGGGAAACGATAACTTGTCTGCCATTTGGGTCGAATTGTTTGAAATCCTTAACGCACTTCAAATTTTTGCGAGAATAGATGGATTTGATGAACAACTATTTCACTTGTGTAGGGCAAAACAATATGAGTCAGTATTGTCAATGACTGGCCTAGCTTATTTACAATGTATTGCAAACACAATTGATAGCAAAAACAAAAAAAGATTATTGGCAAGGGATTTATTGAAGCAAGGAAAGTTTGTTTGGTTTGAGGATTTAGACTCATTATATCTAATAAACAGTCATCATTTGACTGTCACCTTGCGCGCTAACGTTACATCTCTTTGTTTGTCGTCCAATGAAGAACTTCTTGCTGTCGGATTTGAAAATGGTCAAATATCTATTTTTAAGCTTCCATCATTCGAACAACGACGCACTCTAGGCACTGCACTTAAAGATCCAAGGATGGTAAAGTGGGATGATGTAGAAGAATTTGTGTCCATTTATGACAAATATGACGAAGCACACACAAAGGAATTTAGTTTTCCACGTGGAAACATCTGTTGGTGCTCCTTTTCACCTACCGGAAATAGACTGGTAACTAGTGATGGATCTACTGAAGTAAAGTTGTGGGACGTTAACAATGGACGTTTGTTATCATGTTTACAGTCAGATGATGTCGTTAATCGTTGCTCTTTCTTAGATTCTGGTTTGTTTATTACAGCAGAATATGTAAAATATGAGGAATATGAGGATATTTACTTCCACGCATTTATAAAAGTGTTCACTGCATGGAATTCATTAACCTTGGAAAGAATCGACCGACGCTGCGTTGTTGATTACCAAAAATTACAATGCACCGATAAATATTCAGAGCTCTTTGTTGAAGTCATCAATAAGACTTCCTATGTTTTTCAATTCCCAAAGGCAATCGACATTTTTTCTGTTGAAGCATACTATCCAGTAACGTTAATCTCAAATATATCACACCATTATCGTGATTGTACTATTTATCATACTAACAAGGTTGTAAAGCTTTCTGAAATCACTCAGTTGACAAAATACAGCGATCAAGGAGAAATCGAGTTTTGTTTACCAAATGTTTGGTGTCCATGTGTTTATAGGACTTTTGAAAAAGTCCATCCAATCTCGTTTAAGGAATTTTACGTTGTGCCGTATTTTTCCAAGCTTAAAATTTTCAGAACTCATCCCCTATGGAGACCTTCTTTTATCTTTGAGAAATTTAGAATTGAATGTTGTTGTTTTTCACCGGATGGATCTTATTTTGCTGCTTTCGCTGTTGGTGACCACGTCAACATTCATATTTGGAGCATTGAACGCTGCACTATTATTCAAACTGTACCAATGCAACTGGAGTATGCAATTGGATGTTGGTGGTCAGATGGTTTACTGTGGATATGGGATGGTTCTGATCATCTTACGAAGATATCAACTTCGTCTGAAAATTTTGTAGATTCCACGCAGACAAAGCGGATAAGCATTGGATTTGAACCTAAAGAAATCTTAACATTTGGTGATGTCTCAGTTTGTATTCACGAAGAAAGGTTTGTTCAAGTTGTTAGAATTACCAAGGGTAAGATACAATACAACAAAAGACTTCCTGTCGATTGTTCAAAAGTTAAAGCAGCAGCTGTATCACCTGATAATTCTGTTATTTTAACTGTAAACAAAACAGAATACACATTATGGAAATGGAGAAATAACAACAATGTACTTTACTTGAAACCTCGGCATACTGCAAAAATACCCATAACGTCTTTTATTGAAAAATTTGCTCAGGAACAGATAACTGAAACTCGTCTTAAATTCCGTTGCTCTGTAAGTGATAGTAACCAAGCGGTCATTGCATTCACTTTGGAAGACGACAATTACAACCAGAGCACTGCCGTTTATGTAATTAATGTGCATAAAAACAATGACGTGAGTACGATTTTGCATGTCGGATATTTTTTTTGGTCAAGCACAATCATACATAAATCATATTTCATTGGTGAATCTTATGGCTTTTTGGTTGCTGTAGATTTAAACAGTGGTAAACAATGCGCTACATTAAGCGGAACATATCATTTAAGTTCTATTACATTTATGCATTCCAAAACAGATACTATAGCTTACACTTCAGGTGAGGGATATGGAGTTAAATTTTTAAAACTCAATGTACCTGAATGAATCCACTAACTCAACCTTTTTTAGTTATATTAACCTGTTGTATTTACAAACATTACATATCACATAAAACGAACATAAAAAGTTCTTTATATCACAAAAGGACAGTTATTTATGGTATCAACAACGAACTCAAAAATATTGTAGAAAAAATTGTCCATATCCTTTGTTTTAACCCAGGAAAAACTGTCCGTTTTTAATTATAAAAAAATATCACGGACAGAGAGAGAGATTAGTTTCTTGTAATGTCAAGTAAAGATCTTTTTCATCCTATGATTCCCGTCAACTTTCAAATTTATATTTGGAGAATTCAACACTGTAACATTGTCAAAGTTGTGATGAAATTGAGAATATCACACGAAGATGTTGATTTTCGTAAGGATGGTGGCTTGTTTTACATGTGAAAATTACCAAAAGTGAGAAACCTTTGATCTCTGAACGGACTTTATGTCGATGGTTTACTTTTTAATACAAATGTATGGTCAGATAATTTGGTTATTTTTATTATATATTAAACGTTCACTACATAGAAAGGAAAGAATGTCGACAACTCATTCATTGTGAGTCATGATGTAGATGAAGATTATTTTGTTTAAATTATAGAGTGACTTTCTTCAAACATTCTTTCAAAAACTGTAAATAAAATTTACCTTACGCATGTCAATATTGTAGAAACAAGTTTTGTATGATGTTAAAATTTCACATTTATAAAACACTATCATGATATCATGTCATGTCATTGGGTTTTATGGTCATTTATTGAAAAATGTGAGCGATCATTTTTGTACGTTTATTATGTACATATGACCTTAAAGACAGGCGCGGATCCAGCTCCTTAGCTGACCGATGCATTGCGAGCGCCGAAGGCGCGATAGGGGTCTGGGGCATGCTCCCCAGAAAATTTTTGAATTTTCACTATCCGAGAAGCATTTTCCAGCGATTGTATTATATTACATATGAATACAAGTATAAGTGCTGCATAAGTAATATGACATCGTGTATATTTTATGATGATTGTTCGTCGTTATCTACACGACTACACTCTGAGTCTGAAATGAGTACACTATTTACATTTAAAACATGCAAGCATAAAGGTAAATTTACTTACTTTAAAGCTCTTAGTTCTCCACTTTGCCAATGAGCTGTCAAGTGCTTAGGTATTAACATTTCACTTGACATATCTCTCCCATTTTTACCCTTTGAAAAGGGATTCCAAGAAGAGGATTTTGAAATAAAAGTAGCAGCTCTCGTTTCATAGGTTCGACGCACTCCATTAATATCAAATGACTTCTCTTCTCGAAGCAGAGTACACAGATCGTGTTTGATATTCTCGACAGCCATGACTTCGATCGATGATTGCGAGTTATATCAAGTGATCAAACAACAATGCATCCAACTTTGAAGTTCAAAGTTGAATGCATCGGTGCCATGTGCCCACAATCACAAAATTATGGAAAATGCATCGCTCAGCGGCAAAATCTACCGTGACGTGAGGCCCTAAAACAATGGTTTTGCTGATGTCACAGTAGATTTCACGCGGAAAAGGACTCGGGACCGATGCATCGACCGATGCATCGCAAATCTACTGTGACGTAGCGATGCCTCTTCCATCTACCGTGACGTGCTGGCAGAATACTATTAAATTACTTACTAATTATGTATTCACGACAAAATTTCGCTAAATTTTATCGACTTTTCTTTCGCTATTTGTGTCATGGAATACGACAAAATTATCGGAGAACACAAATGTTATTTCTAGAACAAATTTTAGCTTAAAACTGCTAAATCTATAAGTTAACTAAACAATATATCACTGTCAAATGTGCGTTTTAAATAATTCGAAAATAATATTTGCTATTTATTTCATTAAAATGCAAACTCGCAGATTTTGATATCTAAATATTTTGACCGATGCATTCGCATCGGTTGAATCGGTCTAGATCCGCCCCTGCTTAAAGACAGAAAATGTTTTATACTGTCAGCAATTCCCGTATGTAAAACATCTTGATGACGTTATGGAGTTCATTGATACTTCCTTATAGTCACGTGATTAAATGGATGGAACATAGAAAGATGGCGGAATTCCAGTGGAATAGTAATTCATAGAGATGCCTTAGTAAGGTTTTATTTTATTCCTAAATCGTTCAGTCATGCAGAAAAACGTGAAAACAAAGAACGTGTTCCTATCTGGTGCTTTGCAAAGAATTCTACTCGATAAAGAAACACAAAAGTCTCATCATTCACAACTAAAGAAAGCTTGCGAAATGGCTTTAGGTATAAATCCATAAGTAATGATTGTAGTTATTGCTGATGTATTTGGATTCTATTTCCTCTATGTTTTTATGCATTGTCAACCAGTTTCTGCATTTGCTATCAACAAAACATTAAGTGTAGTAATCTTTCATTCAAGATGTCAAAGAACGCTGTCGATAGTATCTTTAAAATTGCTCAATGTATGATTTGTACTTTTTTTATACGTGGCAAACAGTTATTTTTTAGTGTCAATCGCTGGTTCATATTCTTCTTCTTGAGTTATATGTATATATGTTATGGAGAAATGTATGTCAACGTGTGCAATGAATATAATGTACTGCTGTGTTCAGGAATGTTGCTTTACAAAATGATCGCTTTATGATTTTGATCTATTCTAGAGGAAATAAACGCTGTTCAAGGAAATAAAAAATCTACAGGGTAAGTTTGATTATGTAAAGTTGTCTAATTTTCTTTCCAATTTTCCAATTTTAACATGACCAAAATGAGTTATTAACCTTGAATCTTAATAAATTCGCAGTTGTATCCAGACTACGCATGCGCACAAATTTGCTGAATTTTATTGTTCAAAAGTTAGATTTATAAACCAGAATGTTGGTTTGATTTATTTATAATAAAATCTTCAGGAATGTTTCTTCTGCAACTCTACCTCCACTACCTGGTCAGCAAACATTCATTACAGCAGATCAATATTTTCTTCCTTTTGAGTTAACTTGTCAAACAAAATGTGCCAGGATTGTCACCATTGCACTTGACTGTATACAAGTAAGTTGTTTTTGTTTGATGTGTTAGGACACTTGGAGTCTTAAGTTGTAAGAAATGGATTTAATATTGTAAACTCTTTCATCGCATTGTTATTAAGTTATTACAATTTGGTAGCACAAAATAAGTTCCTGCAGTATTTTCTTTTGTTAGTTACCTCCTAAATTTCTCCTAGAAATTGTCAATATTGCTATCCTTATCCATCAACAGTACTCATCCCCAAGCCTCACAACTTCACATGTGTCTTTTCACAACCATTCTTTATTCCTCTATCAACAGTAGTAGTTAACATCTCTGTAGACAAGTTAACAGCAACTCCAGTGAGAGAATTTTAGATCTGAGTTCATGCGATCTAAAAAAAATTAAAGGTTTTTTATCGCAAGTAAATATTAAAGGCTAATGCTAAAATCATACTTTAAAAAAGTAATGATAGAGCTATTTTGTATATGTCAGGTCAATTTAGTTGCTCAAGTTCAATTTGCTCATGTAGTACATAAAGTTATATCAATGAGAGATGACCTTTAATGCATGATCTTTAAGAACAGTTAAGATCTTAGTTAGAGATATCTATAGTATAAATAAAGTTTGTTTGATTTAGGTTTCCTTCTGTAGTAAAACTGGATCAAGAAGATATAAACGAACAGTTTGATACATGTATCTTAGGAACAAAAATAAGTCGAAGTTTCTGTAGTAAAGATATTCATGATGACATGAACTGATAGTACAATATAGATTAGATCAAACCACTCATTTTTAAGTAACATATGATCAATGAGAGTTTTACACATTATCAACATACATCTCAAAAACTGTAGCTAACTTACTTGGGATCCAACGTCCTTCCGCAAGCGGTTTCATCGATAATTTACACAATGACCTAAACACTAAGAATGCATCCTTCTGAGTGATATGTGAAAATCTTTGTTGAGGTGGCTTGCCTTCACTTGACGTCTCGCTGGGCATATCAGACTGAGACTCGGAGACGGAACTACGTGCAGTTTCATTCCCATCATCCTCCTTGGGCTCTGAAACTTCGATAGTTGTCGAGTTATTTGTCTTTGCTTCTGAATCAACATCAACGCTCTTTGGTGGGATTACTTTGGATTCAGATGGATCACTAACATCTTGTACCTGAGTTACACTTGGGGAATCGCCATTAATGGACCCGTCGTTAACATTTGAACTTCAATCGAGAGGTTTTTCTTTGGCAATCTTCGCTGATTCTTCACTTTCTTCCCCTATATTGTCATTTGAAGAAGTCTTAGAAGGCAAGTCATCTACAGCAGCATTGTTCAACTCGTCTGAGTCATTTAAATGCTGTTCTTTGTCAACAGACTCCGAGATATTAGTGTTAACTGTTGTTTCGATATATTCTGTTTTGTGTCATCGTTCACAGCATCACTGACACCATCAACAACATCTTTTACACTCTTCTCTTCAACCAGTGATTCTTCATTCATGATAACTGTATCAATAACATCGTTATCTTTAACCTCCGTGGAAGAAACGGAGACTTCGCTATCTGTAAATGAAAGCCATCAAAGAATATTGAAAAATAAGGATTGGTCAGCAATATCGTCTGTAAAGCGAGTTTTTTAAAACAAAACAAATATGCAAACAGTTTTTTGCACAGGGGGTTGATTATCTCATTAGACAATTTCAGGGGGAGGGTCAAATTTCCAAAAACAAGTAGAAATGCTTCCTTACCGTTCACATCTTCAACTTTATCGTTTGGTAAAAGATTGATGTCAATTTTCTCCTTGTTGCTGATTTCTTCTAATTTAAAATTATCACCATCATCCTTTTCTTCATTTCCATTTTCAGTCTATTGATATACAAAATGATGCAATATTATCAACATTGACATCTCTATTGATATATAATATGATAAAATATTATCGTCATTGACTTCTCTATTGATGTACAATATGATACAATATTATCAACATTGACATGTCTATTGATGTACAATATGATACAATATTATCGTCATTCACTTCTCTATTGATGTACAATGATACAATATGCTTGTCTACATCTCCAAGCCTCACAACTTCACATGTGTCTTTTCACCACCATTTTGTATTCCTTTACAAATCTAGGTCTTGTATTTTGCTTCTATAAATTGGAGTGTTTCAAACATTCTTTGTTCTTAGAAACTCATTGCTTATGGTCATTTTGTTGGCGATACACCAGACTCCATTGAACCAGAGAGGCGTTTAATTGACAGAATTATCGAGACTATTCGTACTTGCTTTACCGGTATAAATACTGATGTAAACGTTCAAATACAAATTATAAAGGTATTTATAAAAAGTAATGTCAAACTGTTAAAGTATTTAATGAGAGAAATGATATATCCTTGAGAAATTTAAAGAGGGTAATGACATATGTATCCCTATGTTTTTTACATTTTTTGTGCCATGAGTTTTTTAAATATCACATTGAATAATTGGATTTCAACAAGATTAAAAAAGTCTATGTGTTAACTGTGGACAGTTGAAAATGATCTTATTTTTATAATGTGTATATTTTTATTATCTATATTTACAGGCTCTTCTAACAGCTGTTACATCAAGTACTGTGAAGTTCATGAAGGAACTTTACTTCAAGCAGTTAGAACAGTTTACAACATTTACCTTGCCAGTAAAAGTCTTATTAGTCAAACAACAGCAAAGGCAACACTGACACAAATGATAAGCCTTGTGTTTCAGAGAATGGAAAGTCAAGCTGTAAGTTTTGTTCTGATGAACAAAATATTTTTATATCATATTGTATGTATCAATAGACATGTCAATGTTGATAATATTGTATCATATTGTACATCAATAGAGATGTCAATGTGGATAATATTGTATCATATTGTACATCAATAGAGATGTCAATGTTGATAATATTGTATCATATTGTACATCAATAGAGATGTCAATGTTGATAATATTGTATAATATTGTACATCAATAGAGATGTCAATGTTGATAATATTGTATAATATTGTACATCAATAGAGATGTCAATGTTGATAATATTGTATAATATTGTACATCAATAGAGATGTCAATGTTGATAATATTGCATCATATTGTACATCAACAGACATGTCATTCTTGATAATATTGTATCATATTGTACATCATTAGACATGTCAATGTTGATAATATTGTATCATATTGTACATCAATAGACATGTCAATGTTGTTAATATTGTATCATATTGTACATCAATAGAGATGTCAATGTGGATAATATTGTATCATATTGTACATCAATAGACATGTCAATGTTGTTAATATTGTATCATATTGTACATCAATAGACATGTCAATGTTGTTAATATTGTATCATATTGTACATCAATAGACATGTCAATGTTGATAATATTGTATCATATTGTACATCAATAGACATGTTAATGTTGATAATATTGCATCATATTGTACATCAATAGACATGTCAATGTTGATAATATTGTATCATATTGTACATCAATAGACATGTCAATGTTAATAATATTGTATCATATTGTACATCAATAGACATGTCAATGTTGATAATATTGTATCATATTGTACATCAATAGACATGTCAATGTTGATAATATTGTATCATATTGTACATCAATAGACATGTCAATGTCAATAATATTGTATCATATTGTACATCAATAGACATGTCAATGTTGATAATATTGTATCATATTGTACATCAATAGACATGTCAATGTTGATAATATTGTATCATATTGTACATCAATAGACATGTCAATGTTGATAATATTGTATCATATTGTACATCAATAGACATGTCAATGTTGATAATATTGTATCATATTGTACATCAATAGACATGTCAATGTTAATATTGTATCATATTGTACATCAATAGACATGTCAATGTTGATAATATTGTATCATATTGTACATCAATAGACATGTCAATGTTGATAATATTGTATCATATTGTACATCAATAGACATGTCAATGTTGATAATATTGTATCATATTGTACATCAATAGAGATGTCAATGTGGATAATATTGTATCATATTGTACATCAATAGAGATGTCAATGTGGATAATATTGTATCATATTGTACATCAATAGACATGTCAATGTTGTTAATATTGTATCATATTGTACATCAATAGACATGTCAATGTTGTTAATATTGTATCATATTGTACATCAATAGACATGTCAATGTTGATAACATTGTATCATATTGTACATCAATAGACATGTCAATGTTGATAATATTGTATCATATTGTACATCAATAGACATGTCATTCTTGATAATATTGTATCATATTGTACATCATTAGACATGTCAATGTTGATAATATTGTATCATATTGTACATCAATAGAGATGTCAATGTTGATAATATTGTATCATATTGTACATCAATAGACATGTCAATGTTGTGAACCGCGTTTATGGCATAACGTTAATGCGCAACAGTAAAAAAGCTCAATCATAAAGAATCAGTTTACCTCGATGATATATTTATTTCTCTTTTGTGGACAAAAAATAATAACCCTTTCATGTAAAATATTTCATGCAATTTTTGGTTGTTGTTATCAGCATGTAAATTTTTTTACTAAATGTATTTTATATTTAGATCACTTTTTTGACTGCTTCTAGATGTCAGGTATTTTTAAACAAAAACAATATAGCATCTATGAAGCATGCTCTCTTTTTTGAGAAAAACTGACTCATTTGAAATGCAAAGTTTGAAGTTTCCTTCTTAGCTCGTCAATAACATCTGCGGAAACTTAACAAATTTGACATGCACTGTTAATTTTAGGGTGTCAAACTAACACCTTTATTGGTGGCAAGCGTCATTTAAGAAAATATGCAACGTAAACCGGCAAATTCAAAATTATTATGACAATAAATGGAATGACATTAAAAATGTATGACACCATCACAAAGTTGAGCAAGTCAAATATGTAAATCGGTAATCAACTTTTACACAAATTAATACGGTTTTTCAGTTCATATCATAACACAAATAAACTCTTAATAAAAACGACATGCAATTATTTGACACGCTTAAGTCAAATAAATTTTCTGTATGTGTTAATTCATTCCATTATTTAGCATTCTCTGGCATCTTTGCCTACGCTGCTAATTTAAACTGAACTAACGGAAACTATGAATTATGTTTTGTATAGTTAGACGCAGTTGCTTTTAACATCTGCTATAAATGAATCCTCTTATCGTGTGGCATAAAAAGAGCGCAGATGGCAAGAATCGGCTATGCTCTGGCGCCGATGATGAATAAAAACAATATGATTTCAGAAAGACTCTTCCATTACAAACTATTGCTTTGCTTACGTTTGACAAGTTATAATAATGACGCGCTGATTGTTATTCATTTGTCATAAACAATGTATTTGTTACCGCTTTTGCTGAACAAATATCTATAGTTTAAATATTTTGGTTCCTTAGTAGATAATTTTATTATTTATTGTAAAACATTATTTTTGACCAGGAATTTCCCTGCGTTATGCTCTCAAAATGAATAACAAGCTAGACCCTGTAAGGGTCTCGAAAGAATAACAGCTTTCTGTATTGCCACAACTTCTGAACCCTTAAGTGAACACACACCAGCAGCTAAGAGTGTCTAAGAGTGAATACTTAATTGAACATGTTTTTTACTTAGAATAGTCTGAATAAACTCACATTATCATTGAATAATCTATTTTATATCAAACTGTATGCTTGTTTTTCTCATGAACTCATACGTATGTATTTATTTGTTGTTTATTAACTAATGAATATCTGTATCACTATTATAAGTTTTCCTTATATTTCGTGAAAAAAAAGCACACAGAAGCTTTTCTTGCTGCACAAATACAAGACTCAAAATAACATCCAAAAGCGTTGATATAACACAAGAAACAGTAATCGCCAAACACCCGTCAATACTGTTAATGTAGTACTTGTATAAAAGTGTTAAATATAGCACCTAAAAAAGATGCTATTTTTGCCATTTCTATTTAACATCTTTTTTGTTGTTGATTTGGCGCTTGAACTTAATGGTGTGTAAATAAATTTTTGTACAATTGCAGTCGTTTCATGGGGCTTATAGAACTCGTAAAAACAGTGACGACCTTCTATGAAAAGGACTGCTTGCATCGTCTGGTGATGCATCTAAAGCAAGTTGAACTATTTAATCATGATTTTAATGCAAGCAATTCTACTTTGCATTTGCGACATAAAATGCAATATAATTAGTTAAACTACATGACAATATCTCCCCCTTTTAAAAACGCAACTTAGTTTGCTACTACTTTAATATCTGTTTAAACTTTGAATAACCTGCATTTGTCACATAGGATACAATTTTTTTGTGTTTATTGTCGTCAGTGAACACAAAGTAGAGTGAAAGAATTCAAGACGGAATTTTATCTTATATTGATAAAAGGAAACATTTTGATATGGTAAGAAAAAAAAGTATTTCACACCCTTCATAGCTATTGATAGTGATAAATATGCCTTTGCCTGAATTTTGTACAATTATCACACTAACTTAGAAAAAGTTCGATATTTGAAAAAATTAAAGTTTAAAACGGGCTAATACGATTTGATATATAGCTTGACAATATTATTTACGTTGTCAGGTTCGATGTTGATGGATATGTTGGGCTCATATGATGCCCACGTACACACAGTTTTTATATTACTTCTTTAAACAAAAACTTGGTTTTTTGGAGCGTTTCTTTTGTAATTTTATTTAAAATACAAGTACATTGGCTAAAAATGTATTAGTGATTTTAAAGGATTAGAATACACCAAAATGGAATTATTTGACAAGATATTTAAAATTTTCCATGTATTCCTTTAGCAACGATCAACATTTTACTTTGTGCGCAAAGGAGAGGGCTGTTTTTTCCAATTCTCCCTTCCCCAGACACACTCAAAGTTCACGATGTCAGCCGCATGACTTGTTTGACATACTCTACATCATTTACAAATGCTGAACTCAAACAAATTGGGTTTGAACTTTCCTTGTAACAAAAGACATTTTCAACTGCTTGTTTATCACGGGAGATTGATTTATTAGTATACGTAATTAAACGCAAGATCTTGAAAAACATAGCGGTTCAAGGTATTTTTGTACAGACAAAGGCTAAAAGATACATGCTGAGTTTTAAGCCAATTAAAGCATGTTTTAGAAATCAAAATAATTTCAAGAAGTATAGGGTATACTATGCGCTACATTTCATGATTTGAACAAACATTGACTTGTGTTGTTATCTATGTGCACGTATATAATACATAGTACAAAATAATATACGTCAAAACAATATGTCTACTATGGATTACAAATCTTTAAAGTTATAAATATTGTTATTTATATATCGTAAGGAGGAGGAAAATTCACAAAAATACAATTTCATCTCGACAAGCCTGTTTCATAAGTTCTCTTTGTTCGGGTGATATTGTTAAATAATTACAGATGCATGTGTTTAAGTATGAATACAATACAAAGTTAAGGTAGAAATTAAGGTATAATGTTCCATGAGATATCGTGATCGATGCTGTTGTCTTTGAGGGTCTATATGTGTTTGCTGAGTTCGGTTAAGCTCCTTAGTTTTTTGTGACGGAAAGAGGCAGTGTGGTTCCTGTGTCGAGTCTTAAATTCGCTTTTTGTAAGTCCGATGTAGGTCTCTGTTGTGTTAGTTTCCATGATTGATCGTTGTACAGATGATTGTGGCAGTTTCTGTTAAGTGCATGGGCAGTTTTGTTTCTGTCGGTAGTGCATGTTTTAGTCTGTGTTTTTTTGTCCTTGGTGGTGTTGTTAGTTCTATAAAGTGTTCAAAATAGTTTCAATAATGTCATGTTTATCGTGATAAAAACAATCTTTTGAATAAGCGCAGTGAACTGTACACGAAGTGTATCCATTCGCGCAACTTCCACGGGGGACGTTTTAAATTACCGCGTGCGTTAGCAATCAAATAGCAAAGCAAGAAACAACCGTTTTTGTATCATTTGTTGCCTGAAGATTGCTTCGGCATGAAACCCCGACTAACAACATTTTAAGAACTGTAATTTCATTTATTATAAATATATGGTCTACTCTGGTATTGAGAACATTTATTTACTTCAAACAGTTTTCACCCATAATCATACATAGACGTGCGTTTTTCTTGAGTAACTGGCATCATATTACGTCTAACTGTAAAAGAAATAAATCATCTATCGTTAAATGCTCTTACATCTGCACCTATATTTTGTTGAAGAAACATAATAAAGCCTTTCCTGTAAAATATAGAATACGATTTTTTGATTTTGTTGTCATCATATAAAATAATTTACAGAATTGCACTGTATATTTACAATGCCTTTGGACTGGGTTTATAAGTCAGTTGTTTTTTAAATAAACCCAACATAGCATATGCTGAGCAGGCTTTCTTTTTCGAAAAAAAATGACACATTTAAAATGCAAATTTGGGCGTATGCACATTTAGTAAGCAAGAAATGAAGAGGACGAATCTTGTGAGGCTCGTGCAAAACGTTTATGCGCTTAAAGGACAATTACTTCATACATCGTCTTGTGATGTATCTGTTCACGGAGTAAAGCAATTTCACTGCTTAGATATATTTTTGATGCAAGCCTCTTGAGTTGGCATTTGCGTCACTAACTTGATATAACTTGTTGAAATACAGTACAATATCCCCCTCCCTACTTAGATTTTACAAACAACAGACATTTGCTGCTTTAAATACAATTTTCACAGTTGTCGCTGTCAGTAAACGCAAATAAGTGGTTTTTGGAGGTCTAGACAGAATCTCTGAAGCAATAAGGAAGACAAAATTTAGTATGGTAATGAAAAAGAACATTTCACATCGAATTATATTTGTCAGATATCAATATTGAAATAATAGCTTAGGGCTTTCTTGTTTGCAAATTTTGATTAAAATTTCGTATTTTGTTCACAATGCGTCGTGTCATTTTCAAATAAATTCTAATTCGATTGGTTTAATGATTTATTATGCTCATTATGTTCAAAATGCATACTGTTATTGGTGTTAGGTATATATTAAAATAATACTGGTATCTACTAAATCTAAACGTTTTTGGAAATGCCAGTATTTTTGCACGAATATTCTAAAAAAATAAATTTGATGAAATCTTATCTCCTAGGAAAAAAATATGATGCCAACACTAGCAAACTTGCTTCTCACATTTATCATTATCTCTTTGCCTGTGCTAATCGTTCTTGGCAATAACGACATTCTCTGCTGTAAGGAAAAATTGGAGACGCTAAAGTATGGCATTCAAAAATGGAAGGATATCTGCGTTGATGAAAATGGCAATGACCTTAAAACAGCTGCATGCAAGGAGTTAAAACTGTACAACAAAGAAATGATGAAATTACTAACACAAATGTGTTTTTACAAGGGTAAGAATATCCACCTTTGTAAATTATGAAAACTTTACAAAAATACTACAAACATCTCACCCATATATTACATAATTCCACAATAATTAATCGTATACTTCTCAAGTTTACCCTTAGGCAGTATTCTGTGGCACAAAAGGCGCTTAGAAAATTAATCCGCCCCAATTGGGCACTACATTTTAACACGATAGATAAGTAGGATATATCATAGAAGGTGTAAATTCACTTGCTTCCACTTTCAAAAAACCCAAGTTTTTGGGTATGTCACCATTGATAATTCAATAATTTGATGTCTTTCGTAATCGATCGACGCCATTTTTTATGTGTAATAGGTGCCCACTTGATATAGGATACGACATAAAGTGCAGATCTAGCTGTTTTACACTCGTTTCTAAATGAAGTTTCCTCAAAATCTTGATATAGGATACGACATAAAGTGCAGATTTAGCAGTTTTACACTCGTTTCTAAATGAAGTTTCCTCAAAATCCGCTGTTTAGCCAAGCTTCAACCAGGAAGCTTTGGATGGCGTTTTACAGTGTTTTGAGCAAAAATTTAACAGTTTTCTAACTGAACTAAATAGAAAATATACATTTAAACTGGTTTGAGATACTGTAGACTATTTCTGTTTTAGGAAGAAAAATTTTTTGGGAAAATCTTGGAAAAATTTAAGAAGCACTAAAATGTAATTTCGTTGACTTTGGCAGATGAAATTATCTGCGTCGTTTCGAATAGCTTTTATTAACCCATTATCAAAATTTGACGCCCCATTCCCTCTTTTTCCCAAAAAGAACAATAGGTACTAGCACAATGGCGACCTGACTGCCAGCATGACACTGCGAGTAGATATAAGCCGTCAAATATACAATATTGAGCTTAGCTTTCGTGATCAGTGTTGGCCTCCATTCATTCGAGCTCTATGTAACATTTAGCTTCACAGTCCGCCTTTTTGCAACAGCAACAAATGGTCGAGCATTTAATCTTACATTTACATGCAAAATTTAGATTCAAAGTAACATTGACGACTCAAGATATGCCTTTTTCATGTCGGGCAAATATTTCGTTAATGTTTTGCCTGCAACATGCAATAGCCTAGTCTAGCTTATACATACAGCTATTTTTGATATGGACGAATAGATCTTCTCTCACCGATTTTTCATGGTTGGAAGTTTGATGATAGAGGACTGCTATAACTTAGATGGCATTCCTACTTGCTCCTCAATCTTTGAATCTGTATCCTGAGACTGAATGTTCGACCATGTTAAGACTGAATGTTCGACCATGCAAAAGGCTGATTTCAGCCATGGAAAAGGCTGAATGCAGTGTTTGAAGATGATAATGACGATGAGAGCTTTCATGAACGTATGATGATGTAAAATAGCAATACATATACAAATCATGTCTTAGTACATCCACCTTGAATCTTAACACATTAATTACCAAATATCGCCAAGGATTTTGCTTAAAAAGAAAATATTTTAGCGTTTGAACATTTCATTTGCAATGTGTTTTTGCAAAACAATCTGTCAAGAAAATAAAACAGACCACGCGAGACTCACGCGAAGCGGTAAAACAACTTCAAATTGGCTTCAGCAAAGACTAGGCATTTTATATACTGTTAACGTTCCAGTCTACTTACAGTTCACTGCGTATCATACATTAAGTATCCTCAAATTACGTAATGAAAATGGCGTCGATTGATTGCGAACATTGAGTTCTATACAATGGACTCTAATACAACTGGAAGGCTAACTCAATAAACACATGCCCTAGACTTGTATGACGCCACTTAGAAGCTGATTTGCTGCTTTGCGTGTATCTCGCGTGGACTGTTTTATTTGCGTGACGGATTGTTTTGCAAAAGCTGCTAACTTGGAAATATAATGCTAGCCTAAATGTTTTAATTTTTTCAAAACCGTTAGCAAAATTTGGTTATTAATGTTTTAAGATGCATTGTGGACGTTCCAAGGCATGTTTTGTATACGTAACGCTATATTATATAAAACATAAAAGTGAGAACTTGCTTCGAAATATGAATTTCTTATTTGTCGTCGAAAGATCAAAAATCTAAGATAAAACTGATAACAGGTAGTCTGTATCTTTGAATGGTATGCAAAATATACACAATCCACCTCAATATAACGTGTTTCATAATAATTTTATTGCTTTTAAAGTTAGACTTGCTTTGTAAGAATTTCATATGCTCTTTGTATTGTGTGAAAAGTGATTATTTGAAATTTTGAACTGTGGGTGATTGTTGGTTCTTGTCATTTACTTTCCCCACTTCTTAAGAACTGGTGGAAGATTTGACATGCATCCATATTTGTGTATTGAGCATTTTATCAGCAAGTTCATGCTTATAAATAAATAGCCAAGTGTACAACATGACAATAATTGCTAATATAGCCTGCTCTAAATAAATTCCAAAAAGCAACCTTCATCCTCAGTGGTTTGAACCAAGTGTTTAAAATGATTATAAAGCAAGCAAAGCTATATCATATATCAAAATGCGAGCTAATTTTTGTCGTAAACACAAAAATTACCGAAAACAGCGTTTTTTCGGTAATTTTTGTGTTTAAAAGACTCAAACTATTTTATAAGGATAGACACGTGTATTTTATATCCTCTTAATGAAAAAAAAACGAGGGGTGTCAGTTTTGTATTCAAGTTATAAGGCATGTTTACACGTGCCAAAACAAAGTTCACTTTTCATCCTTTTAAAAAGCTTAAACATGTACAAAAATCGTTCAAACTTGTTTTTTATTAAAGTCCAAACATTGTTTAAGGATTTTAGATATTAAGCTGGCTCGAAGACCACAGTTTTTTTTGGAAAAAAACCGGCAATTTCGAAGTGATGTATTTCGCCTTCATACCCTCAAAGGCGGCGATCATGCAGGCTTCAAAAATGGCGGCGAAGTTAGCCTTCCAGTTGTTATAGAGTTCACTGGTTATATAAGAAATGGAAGGGGAAACTCATCCCACTCCTAAAACACTTCCCTATAAGCAATTTCATCATCAAAGACTCTTTCTCGTTTGTTGAAGAAATCCTAAATTGCGATATAAACTCCAGTAACGTTGTCCTTGCTAGCTTTGATGTCGTATCCCTATTTACTAACATACCTGTTGACGAAACCATCCACATAATATCCAAAAGCATTTTTAACAACCACCAGTACTTCAACGGACTCACTGCAACAGAATTTGAAAAACTACTCTCTCTAGCTGTTAAGAACTGTCACTTTATATTTAACGGGAAAATGTACCAGCAAATTCATGGTGTGGCTATAGGCAGTCCATTGGGCCCTCTCTTTGCTGATATATTCATGTCCTTTCACGAAAAATCCTGGCTTAATAAATGTCCTTCTTCATTGAAACCACTACTTTTCCGACGCTACGTTGACGACTGTTTTTTACTTTTTCATTCCTCCGATCACGTCCCTCTCTTTCTTGACCATCTGAACCGACAACACCCTAACATCACATTCACAGCTGAAGTCGAACAAAACAGAAAGCTCTCATTTCTGGACATTGATATCTCTCGTACTAATGGAAAATTCACCACTTCCGTCTACCGCAAACCTACTTTCACTGGCCTCTTCACCAACTTCCACAGCTTCATCCCCCACTTACTTACAAACTTTCACTAGTCTCCTGCTTACTTCACCGCATCTTCAATTTTTGTTCTACTTACGAAAATTTTCATACACAACTCAAATTTACCAGAAAATCACTCACCAAAAACGGTTTTCCTTCACATATTATTGACCAAATCACACATCGCTTCCTTAACAACACCTTTACCCCTAAACCAACTGTCTTGACTGCTCACTAAATGCCCATCTATTTCTGTCTTCCTTTCACCGGCATACACTCCCTTCAAATTCGCACACAAATCAATAGCCTTTGTGCTGCAGCCTTCCCACATATATCCATTAAATTTGTTTTCCGCCCTTCTCAACGTATCTCTTCTTTCTTCCCATTTAAGGACAAAATTCCCAAACCTCTGAGATCTGGTGTAGTCTATTTATTCAAGTGTCGAAGCTGCAACGCCTCGTATGTGGGTCAAACCACACGTCATCTACACACCAGATTTTCGGAGCACTTGGGAATATCCCCCCTTACCGGCAACTAAGTTTCCCACCATGCATCATCAAGCATTCTAGCTCACATTAAAGCAACTGGACACACCCCCAACTTAGATGACTTTAAAATAATCTCCTCTTCCAACGATACTTATGAACTCCCCATTCATGAAAGCCCTCTAATCAATAAAGACAAACCTTCACTTAATGTGCAAGGAAACTCCATTCCACTTAACCTCTTTTAATTTCTCTTTATTTTACTACCTATGGAAGTCCTGAGAAGGACTGTTTTTGTTGTTGTTGACTGACGTTTCGACAACCTTAGCGATAGTCATCTTCAGAGTTAAATGAGGAGTAAACGTCAGGATAGCCGTATTTGTTATCTGGTTCTTACGTCATTGTATTGTGTGTATAGGAAATGTGTATTGTCATTGTGAATTAGTGTAAAGTGAAATATGTTTATTTTTAGTTGTGATGTGTGATTTAGGTGTGATGTTTCTAGTTGTAATGTGTGGGTGTCAATTGTGTATTGTCATTGTGAATTAGTGTGAAGTGTAATGTTTTTAGTTGATCGTTTGTATTGTGAATAAGTCGTTTGTAAGGTGCCGGTAATTGCTGTGATCTGGAGGTCAAGTCTTCCTAGCGTATCAAAGTGTCGAGGCTGTCTTAGCGTATCAAAGAGACTTGTCAAGACAACCAAAGACGAGATCAGAAGCAGGATAGCCTCCACTTTACAATCGTCCTCTATACGTGACAACAACTTGACAAAGGACGAACAGCAAGCACTCAAACGACTAAAACACGACAACAACATCGTCATTTTACCAGCAGACAAAGGACGCGTGACTGTGGTCATGGACAGGAATGATTACTTCAACAAAATGGACACCCTTGAACAACGTATGAACAACTCAAACGAGACCCAACACCATCACTAGTACGCAAACTTAACAGCAAGATCTTCTCTATGAGAAAATCTAACATTATATCTGAACGTATTTACTATCGACTCAGATGTTCAGTACCACGACCACCCAGACTATACGCACTACCAAAACTTCACAAACCACAAATACCCATGCGACCAATTGTATCATTCTGTGGTTCGCCTAGTTACGAACTCTCAAAGTACTTGACTGAAATACTGCAACCACTTACAAACAAATCAAAACACAAGCTACAATCCACTGAAACTTTCATTAAAAAACTGAGCACTATACAAATACCGGACAACTATATACTAGTGTCTTTTGATGTGAAATCACTGTTCACCAGTATTCCACTTAATCAGGCACTTACTTGTACAAAAATTGTTATGCAATCTATAGAGGAACGGGCGCTCACGACTTACAAACATGCACTACCTTTTTGGTTTCGCTACGTAGATGACACAATCACAGCACTACATGCAGACGAGATTGATGACTTTCACACTCACATCAACAAACAGAACAGCCACGTACAATTTACCAAATATGTTGAAGAAAACGGAACTCTTCCTTTTCTCGACTGTTTGGTAAAACATGACAATCAAAAACTACGAACAAAAGTTTATCGCAACGCAACACATACTGACCGACTACTAGACCAATCATCTTACAACCCTACATCACACAAAGCCACCACAATCAGAACATTAACAAGATGTGCACAAATCATATGTGATTCACCGGACGCTCTACACAACGAAAATAATTATCTCAAACGTGTTTTGACAAAACAAAAATAACTCTGACTTTATCAAACGCAACACCTACAAACCCAACGAACCCAACGAAACGAGCAACTCAGTGCCAACAGCAACGATACCTTACATCAAAGGTACGTCTGAGACTATCTCGCGTATCTTACGACCATACAACATACGTGTCTCATATAAACCAATCACATTGTTACGACAAGTACTAACGAACATAAAGGACAAACAACAACCCAACGAACGACAAGGTGCAGTTTACAAAATAAATTGCTCCGACTGCTACGCCTCCTATATCGGGGAAACTGGCAGGAACTTAATTATAAGACTTACTGAACACAAACGAGCTACTAAGAATCAAGACAAAACTAATCACATTGCCAAACATCACCGAATCACAAAGCACAACATTGACTGGGACTCGGAAAAATGCATTACTTACTGTACTGACTATAGACAACGGTTTACATTAGAAAGTTGGTATACCAAATTGGAACAAACCCCCCTGAACCGATCACAGCAATTACCGGCACCTTACAAACGACTTATTCACAATACAAACAAACGATCAACCAAAAACATTACACTTCACACTAATTCACAATGACAATACACAATTGACACCCGCACGTTACAACTAAAAACATCACACCTAAATCACACATCACAACTAAAAATAGAAATATTTCACTTCACACTAATTCACAATGACAATACACATTTCCTGTACACACAATACAATGTCGTAAGAACCAGATAACAAATACGGCTAACCTGACGTTTACTCCTCATTTGACTCTGAAGATGACTACCGCTAAGGTTGTCGAAACGTCAGTCAACAACAACAAAAACAGTCCTTCTCAGGACTTCCATAGGTATTATTGTGCAATACTTTGTCTTCTGTAATTGTGTAATGTATGTCAAGAGCAAGATATAATTTTTCAAAATGCTAACCCTTCAAGCGCTGCTACTCTTCTGTTTTGCTTGAACAACTTACAGCTACCAATACTAATTATTTATATGTACAAACTAACAATTGGGAATTAAATGATAAACAACTTTATAAGTCTTTGTATTATACATCAAGCCTTTGAATTTGTCCTTTTATGTCTTGGTAAAAAAATATTAATAACGGACTTACAAATCAATTTTCTCAAAAACAGTATTTGGTGCAAAGAAACTACACATAATTGGAAAGGTCACATGTTGAAGACAGACAGAAATTTATCGGGTGGCTTGTGTTTTAGGTGTATTACTGTTGTCTTGTTATAATTTTGATTTTACTTGTTTAGGTGTTTATCCTGAGCCATACCTAATCATTTTAAAATTTAATAAAATGTACGCAGTTGATATTCTTACCGAAGATTTTCATGTTGATATTATTCATGGATTCAGAGATAGTTTTTATCATATATGTTGCAACCATTATGACATGGAGATCGATGTATCTGAGGACATGATTTACTATATTGAACTTGGAGATATCAAAAGATCAAACCTGGATATGACTGATGTTGAAATTTTTGAAGAAAATGCTTGCGCTCATGATATGACAGTTGACTGGATCGGACGTCGTATATTCTACGTCAAGTCGAATAACATCATCCAGCAAATTTCTTTAAACAGCAAAAATTCAAGCGTTATGAGATTTACACCGGGCTTAAAATTTAATATGATCACATTTGATCCAATCAAGGGGTACATATTGAAAATTTTTCCATCAAATTTCTAAAAGTAAACTTCAGAATCTATTTTGATGTAAAAAATATAATTTATTTTGAACGACTTGTCATATTCTTGACAATGTTACTGTGTTTATTTTCCTTTATGCTGTTTAAGATGTTGCAAATTGTAAATTGTTAGAGTTCTTCTATACAGCTTTTGTATGTTAGATGTTCGAAGAGTTCACGTATATATAAAATGTGCATGAATGACTAGCTAAAGTCAACTGCACTGAACATATATTTAGTCATTTTCTTAAGACAGACCAATAACAAGCATACCAAGTGTTTGTTCTAAAAGCAAAATGAGCAGGTTGCCATCGATTTTATGGGTCAGATGAAACTTTGAAAGGCTAACAAGATACAAAGTCTTATATACTTCCTAAGTTTGCAACAAGGAGCAATAGGCTCAATAATATTATGGGTAATAAATTAAAAATCCTCCCTTTGGAAAAATATCCTTAAAAGGTTCGTAGTTTATGAAGTATGTAGAAATATGTTATCTTTAGTCAAAATTACTATAAATTTGATGAAGAAATCAAAAGAAAAATAAATTTCAGCTTATTTCAAGCATAAAGATGTTTTATACATCTAGAAAACATGCCCAAAATAGATGGGCTTTTCAGTTTTGAGTTAGCTTCGTTGATTTTGATCTATCTCCAAGCATTTCAATGAGCTGACATCTATTGCTGGTTTTCAATTTTTTCCAATACAATTTGTTCTTCCTATGAGCTTTTCATGATATGTCAAATTATAAGTAGGAAGTACTAGCGAATATGAAATATGCCATTGCGATGTGCGACACTGAAATGAGTGTAGCAATAAGCTTGTGGCTTTGAGCGCTGTTTTGGTACCCTATCAAAGTTCAGTTAACATTTATAAGTCCCCCCTTCGGGCCCTTCCACGTCTCAAAAACAGATGTCGGAAGCAAGAGAACACTCCTTTAGGTTAACAAGCGTCTTATTTTTAATATATTCAATCTATTGCTTGTCTCACAATCGTCCGAGTGCTCGAAACTTACATAAATTACAAATAATTTCTGCTTGGTTTCACAAAATATTAAAATAACAATGAACATATACTTGTATACAATGAAATCCAAAATATTTGCAATGCTCCATTGCAATTTGTGAAGCCCTTGCGCGTCTCAAAATTATTTATATCTGGTACAGAACTTTTTGAATATGCTATCTGAAAAATAGCAACAAAATGTCGCTCCAATATTCTCAATACATATACATGTGGTGTATACAAAGTATTTATATAATGTGCCCTCCCGCCTATCACCATATTTAAGGTGACTCCTGCGCTTGGGACACAGAACGTACGGTTACACATTGTATGGATTGTATTGTAGAGTTCCCACAGTGCTCAAACCTATAAACGTGAGCTTTGCATAGCTCATGGATCATTCAATGTACTCCGGTTTACTTAGAAAGAAAACGTACGTTTGAGACACACTGCATAGCAAGTATTTGAGAATTGGAAAACAACTGATTGCACCTTTTAAACAATCTATAGAAATAATAATATATAGTACCAAACTTACACCATACTTTCTAATTAATGTTACTATTTCAGCGAGAACTTTTTGTTTAAGGTATCTTTTCTCAGCAGAAGAAAAATATCATAAAATTTGGATATGGAGTAGGATTTCAAATAATGATCACGTTTCATCAGTTTCTCTTGAGTCAAACGCATATGATCTTACTCTTGACATGGGTGAAGAGAAGTTATATTGGCGAGTTTCCGATGACACTGTGTATTCATGTGATTACCTCGCCAAAATGTGGATGTTTTGCAATATCAGGAGCACGAATAAAAGTATTTGGAAATTTTGTATATGTCATAAATAGTGCAAAGAAAGGCATAGTAACGGCCTATAACACAACAGATAACTTGACTTATAACTTTTCCATCCCTGTGGCTGTGAGTGATGGTCATCATGGTATGGCTGTAGTACAAAGCACTAGTGTAGTGTCAAATGGTAAGTGAAATATCAAATCATTAAACATATGATTCATCAAAACACAAAATAACAAATACTGCTCATAACTCAAACAAACTAACACATGCACTTACGTAAAGTTTAGGCTAGGTAATGATTTATATGAAAAGTCACATTTAAAAAGTCATTGAAAAAGCTAAATTTTTATGATTCACATCCATATCATTATGCTCATATATATTTGAAAAAGCAATTAAAAATCGTTTCGAAGAAACAAGTTTGTAATTCCTGCATTTATCTTTTACATATGTACTTTAATTCTTGTAAACATTTACTGCCATTAGTTAAACTCTACCTATTAAATACCAATATTTAGTGACAAAACCCTTCAATTTTCCCATATGTGGATCCAACACATACTACAACAAAGTTGATGAAACATTAGAATGCAAATGTATGGAAGGATATGAAGGAGAATGTAATTCATGTACAGGTAGATATATGGATTTTTTTATAACAGTACTAAAAGCAGAGCATCTAGCTTGTTCTCTACAATCCAAATTATTTTGCATATGTTTTCATTGTTAAATGGACAAGTGTTTATTTTAGCTATTTTCATTTCTTGTCTTTGGTTTTATATAACTGTCTATCTTAAAAGTATTATCTTTTTAAAATAAGTGGCTTATTATTCACCAACTAAAAAACTTTACATGCTCTAAACATAAATATCATCCTCAATTAGACGTATAAAATGCTACAATTTTGTTCTCAACTTCTTAACTTTGTTGCCGTGCTACTTTACCAGAAACTGTTGTTAGAAAACTGTCTGTAAACCAATACCAACAACTAGTAAGAAGCAGCTTTGAGCTTACTGTGTTTTACATTATTTCTAAATTTATCGACTCGAATTAAACAAACTACAAATCAGTGATAACTTTGAAAACCGTATCTTTGTTCATTCAGTAACTGCTTTATGAATCTGTTATTGTTATTTAAATGACAAATTTGAAATTACATTACTCGCACGTTTTATGTTAATTTTCTACCTTTAATTTAGAGATATGTAAGACAGACATGGTTCTTCTCCTTGATACATCATACTCTATTGGCAAACACAACTTTGATAGGAAAATAAAACCGTTTCTAAAAAAGTTGGTTTTCAGTCCTAAGCTCAAAGTCGGCCCTAACGGAACCCAAATTGCTATCGTTACATTCAGCGATAAACGTCATACGAGATTCTTCTACATTTCTCTGCTAAGACAAAACAGAGTACATAACATTTATAAAACATGTTTTAGTATGGGAGGCTGTTTCTGGTGATAGAACGATGACTGGAACTGGTGCAGGCATTGTGGACAAACAGGTGAATTTCTCCTTTAAGATAGGAAAGCTGTAAAATAACACATCTCTTTGACTGATTACATTGCAAAATACATTTTATTTTACGAACAAGATATTCAAGGAGAGCAGTCCACACAACAACCGACCAAACATCCCTGACGTTGTCTTATTGATAACAGATGGTGAACCAAATGGAAGGAAAAAAGGCGTTGAATTAAAGGACGCTTACAAATATTCAAGGTGATAAATGATGTGTTAAAGTTACTCTTTGATTTTTCTTTAAGTTTTCCATGATAACATTCTCTCGTTACAAATTTATCAACAACCTTTATTTTCATCACAAAAAGATTTATAGCTCTCTACCGTCATCTACCATTCACTAGATTTAATGTATTATATTTTAATCAATTCAATAATATCAGATCAATGAAAGACAAAGGCATTCTTATTGTTGGTGTTGCTGTTGGCTGGCCATCTATGGTGAAAGAGATTAAGCCAGTCATTAAAAAAATATCAACTTCAGAAAAGACAACTTTTGACACAGAAGTTGATTCTCTGAACGAAATACTGAACAAAATTGTTGATCCCTTCTGTACTACTTTTATACCAGGTTTGTATCAATTTACAGTTTTGTTGTTGTTGAAGTCTTATCGTCATTAAATGAAGTCATCAAATGACCTGTCGTGTTTTATAAAGCAAAAACGGAAGTTATATTATTTATAGCTGTTTTATGATGTCTTGTGGCTAGCAAAAAATGATTTTATATGCAAGTTTACTATTTAGCATTGTCATATAAGTAAATATTCCCTTACGTGATGTTGATTTTAGTACTTTCCTATAAAAAGGTCATTGTAGCTGTTTTATGATGTCTTGTGGCTAGCAAAAAATTATTTTATATGCAAGTTTACTATTTAACATTGTCATATAAGTAAATATTCCCTTACGTGATATTGACTTTAGTACTTTCCTATAAAAAGGTCATTGTAGCTGTTTTATGATGTCTTGTGGCTAGCAAAAAATTATTTTATATGCAAGTCTACTATTTAGCATTGTCATATAAGTAAATATTCCCTTACGTGATGTTGATTTTAGTACTTTCCTATAAAAAGGTCACTGTAGCTGTTTTATGATGTCTTGTGGCTAGCAAAAAATTATTTTATATGCAAGTTTACTATTTAGCATTGTCATATAAGTAAATATTCCCTTACGTGATGTTGATTTTAGTACTTTCCTATAAAAAGGTCATTGTAGCTGTTTTATGATGTCTTGTGGCTAGCAAAAAATTATTTTATATGCAAGTCTACTATTTAGCATTGTCATATAAGTAAATATTCCCTTACGTGATGTTGATTTTAGTACTTTCCTATAAAAAGGTCACTGTAGCTGTTTTATGATGTCTTGTGGCTAGCAAAAAATTATTTTATATGCAAGTCTACTATTTAGCATTGTCATATAAGTAAATATTCCCTTACGTGATGTTGATTTTAGTACTTTCCTATAAAAAGATCACTGTAGCTGTTTTATGATGTCTTGTGGCTAGCAAAAAATTATTTTATATGCAAGTTTACTATTTAGCATTGTCATATAAGTAAATATTCCCTTACGTGATGTTGATTTTAATACTTTCCTATAAAATGGTCACTGTAGCTGTTTTATGATGTCTTGTGGCTAGCAAAAAATTATTTTATATGCAAGTTTACTATTTAGCATTGTCATATAAGTAAATATTCCCTTACGTGATGTTGATTTTAGTACTTTCCTATAAAAAGGTCATTGTAGCTGTTTTATGATGTCTTGTGGCTAGCAAAAAATTATTTTATATGCAAGTCTACTATTTAGCATTGTCATATAAGTAAATATTCCCTTACGTGATGTTGATTTTAATACTTTCCTATAAAAAGGTCACTGTAGCTGTTTTATGATGTCTTGTGGCTAGCAAAAAATTATTTTATATGCAAGTTTACTATTTAGCATTGTCATATAAGTAAATATTCCCTTACGTGATGTTGATTTTAATACTTTCCTATAAAATGGTCATTGTAGCTGTTTTATGATGTCTTGTGGCTAGCAAAAAATTATTTTATATGCAAGTTTACTATTTAGCATTGTCATATAAGTAAATATTCCCTTACGTGATGTTGATTTTAGTACTTTCCTATAAAAAGGTCACTGTAGCTGTTCGTCTTTTCAATCTTCAACTGTTTACATTAATTCATCAAAAAAAGCGGTGACTGTAAGTTGGCCGATACCAGTTCGATGTAGAACGAACAGAGTTCCTCAATATACGATGACGATTAAACCAAATATCACATCCCCACACGATTTTGCTGTTGGGAATCATCGTATTGAATATACTTTCACATTCAGAGAAGGATTTTATCTTAAATGTTACATAGATATTAAAGTTGAAAGTAAGTATTGACGAAAAGTATTTGTAAGCTTTAAATATCCCAATGGAAACTATATCATTTCTCTGTAAAGTATTTCATCACCACAAAAACGGACATATATGTCGTCTTAGTTTGTATTTTAAAAACCGTTCTTTTCTCTGTTGTTCATTCATCAATACCTTCACTGACACACATTACCTTACTTAGTTTATATTTTAAAGACCGCTCTTTTCTCTGTTGTTCATTCATCAATACCTTCCCTGACACTCATTACCTTACGTAGTTTATATTTTAAAGATCGCTCTTTTCTCTGTTGTTCATTCATCAATACCCTCACTGACACACATTACCTTACTTAGTTTATATTTTAAAGACCACTCTTTTCTCTGTTGTTCATTCATCAATACGCTCACTGACACATTACCTTAGTTTATATTTTAAAGACCGCTCTTTTCTCTGTTGTTCATTCATCAATACCTCACTGACACATTACCTTACATAGTTTATATTTTAAGACCGCTCTTTTCTCTTTCATTCATCAATACCCTCACTGACACACATTACCTTACTTAGTTTATATTTTAAAGACCGCTCTTTTCTCTGTTGTTCATTCATCAATACCCTCACTGACACACATTACCTTACATAGTTTATATTTTAAAGATCGCTCTTTTCTCTGTTGTTCATTCATCAATACCTTCACTGACACACATTACCTTACATAGTTTATATTTTAAAGACCGCTCTTTTCTCTGTTGTTCATTCATCAATACCTTCACTGACACACATTACCTTACGTAGTTTATAATTTTGGAATTATAAATACTGTTCTCTTTTTCTCTTATTCGTTTATCTTTACTGACAGTTGCACAAGTTATCTTAGTTTTGTTTTAGATTGTGTAAAAATAGTTTTTGTTCTCTTTTCTTCGTTTATCACCATCTATACTCACAAACATCATTTAATGAATATTTTAGTGTGTGTAAAGACTGTTCTCGTTTTCTATAATCCATTCATCACTACTTGCACTAACATATGTTTTATTAGTTATATTTTGGGTAAGATAAAAACATTTCTTGTTCTTACTCACAGCATGTGAATGCCAAAGTGCAGCACCAATAACAAAGAATATTAGGAAGAACAACCGTTGTATATGTTAAACGGAACGAGCCAAAACCAAAGTGTCCACATACACTGATTAGTCTGTCACCATCAGGAGCAATTTTAGGCGAAGGAAATTTTGGAATTGGGAAATATGACATTACTTATGATTTCGCCATTAGAGGTAACGGAAAAAGCTTTGTTTTTAGCTGTCGATTAACGATCAAGGTCCGCGGATAAATTGAACAATATGTTTCTTTCTTTTTTTTTCGTTTGAATTACATGTATCCATGAATCACATTAAGGAGATTTATTGATTTAGTTCTAAGTATGAGTATGTACTATGTAGTGTGTAAATGTATGTTGTAGTATGTGTATGTACTTTGTAGAATATTTTAAAGTTATTGCACTACCATGCTATGTTGTCATCGTTTCAAATACACACGTTCTTAAAGAAACAAAACAAAATAGGTTGTAAGAAAACTTATAAAATATTCAACTTTTGCTGTGTATAAGATCGTCTAAAGCGCGCGATACTTCTCAAATTGAGAACATGGTATGAATGTGATGGAGGAAATCTTTTAAGCGTTCTCGTTGACGCCATATCTGATTTATATGTATATATGTCATTGAACTGTATAATAACTGCAGCGGCTTGGTGGACTGGGTCAATAATGCTAAAACATGGATGACAATTAATCTTTTTCCGCTGAAATGATCGCTTTGCAGTAAAAATAATATTCTCGACCTCCCCTTTGTATCTATAGTCAATTATATGGAATTATTTAAAAAGGAGCGCGATATCTTTTTACGTATTTTTTTCATAATGCCAAACCTTCAATAGCTCAGTTTTTAGGTATCGTAATGTCCACAAAAAGGAGCATGTCGCTTTCACTGGTGAGATATTTGCTTGTAGAAATATTCTTACTATCTCACATGCAAAATATATATAAGAGCTAAATTATAATCACAGTCACGGTCACCAAATTCTGAAGCCTTGCATCTTTGTATCTTCTGTCGACATATAAATTGCTTGTAAATGATGCTAATATGTTCACAGGCATGTTTTCATCGTTGAAATCTTGGTGTTGGGTAGTATTAATTCGCATCTCAACAACTTTGAGGTATTAAAATTGAACAAGCGGGAACATGGAAACATATGGCACAGCAGAAAGCATCACCTTACCCTCATTTGGTTGGACCAAGATTTTGTGGCTAACCATAATGTAAATTGTTTTGGAGACAAAAAGCATGATGGGAAGATTTGCATTTAGACTTTCGGATTTTCATAGTTTTCAAGTGTTCTTAAATATGGGCTTAAGAATATCGTTAATTTTTTCCTTTTTTCGGGGGAGGGGGAGGGGGAAGAGCTCTTCATCTATTCATCAAAAAGCAAGTTAATTTTTTTTTTAAATCCAGCTTTTTTTCAGGCTTATAACATAAATACATGAATTTGACCCCCTCCCTCCCACAATTATCAGTTTTCCTACCCCAGCATGCTCTCATATTCTGCAAAGTAATCGTGGCTTGTTATAGCAAGTTTACTATCGAGTGAGTTTAACAACACTGATATATCTTTTTACTCGCACTCAGGATCTTTTTCAAAACAGTTTTCTGAGAATTTCTATTTTACGCGTCACTAGTTTTATCAAAATGTCCAAAGCACTATGGGCAAAGTGAGCACAAAATTATGTTTTTTAAAAAACCAGTTATACGTATATGTTTTTTGTATTTCCTGTAGTTTTCTCTCTTTTTCATTATAATTATAGCTATTCGTGGCTTTTGTCAATATTGTGTAATTTTTAGAATTAATTTATTGAGAAAGTTGGGAGCCAAAACCAGCAAATAAGCTATAAAGTATATTTAGTCGTTAACTCATTACTGGAATATTTGCTATGATATTCACTAGCATTCCCCAATCTAAATCACTGTATCCTACCAATTCTAAAGGGTTCTCGCTCTTTCTAAACGTTAGATTTAATTGTGGTGTCCCCTTAAGGTATCTTAGGACATGCTTTGCTGCATTTAATGATGCAACAGTCGGTTTGGACATGTATTGAGACAGTTTGGTAACTACATAGCATAAGTCCGGCCTAGTGCCTATCATAATGTAAATCAGTGGGTGCGAACGTCTCATGATAGTCAATTTTTGAGACTTGAGAATAACCCTTAGCTACATACCTAGCCTTAAACGTCTCCTCATTGTTCATGCCTGTTTTGATTGTGTACACCATTTTCCACCCACTATTTCACGATTTGGGGGTAACTCAGTAGGTGTGAAAGTGTTATTATCCACTAATGAGGTAAACTCATCGTCCATGGCGTTTTTCCACTGGACTGACTCTTTAGAACTTACAGCTTCTGAATAAGAAGTGGGTAAATCATTCAACCTGTAACAATAATCGACTGCAAGCTTAGTTGTGGTATCGGTTATGTTTTCAACTACACACTCATCTAGATATGCTGGCCTATTCCGGGTTCGGGTTGGATACCTTACAGTGTCATTCCCTTCTAAATTATCAGGTTTCCCCCCTATTTCTGCAGTAGGCTGTTCTGACGTAGGTGTTGCGTAAGAAGGTTGGTAAATTTCATCGTCCGTTGGAGTCTTCTCAATCTCATCATGGATACTATCAAAAAACTTTACGCATCTTACTCTCTCTACTTTCATGTTTCCCGGGTAATATACCAGGTATGCAGGGCAACACTTATCATACCCAATGAAAATCCCCTTCTTGCTTCTAGGTTCAAGCTTTTTCGGATTTTGCACTTAGGCATAGCACTTCCCATAGCTCATACTTATTTTCATCTCCATTGAACATTATTGCTCTCCTGGGCCCACAACCTGTTGGGTTTGATGCAGTGGCCATGATAAATAATCACACTGATGTCTGGAGGTTTTATTACATTTATTCCTACATATAGAAGAAAAACTAGCACACGACAACTAACTGATACACATAATGATACATCTATTTACATACGTGACGCTAAACTATGATTGGTCATTTTCTTTCCTCAGCTCTTGTTACAAATAATATCGATTACGTTTACAATCATTTCTATAGTTAAATATGTAGGAAGTTAACACACACTTTACAAGATACACGTATACACATCACATGAGAGCATAACCTAACAGTTATTATTGAAGAACCTAGTGGAGCAGTATTTTATAGACACGTATGGGACGTCTATGGATCGTGAAAAAGTCAATGCTAAGTTGGAGAAGAGATTTGATTTACAAGAAGAAAGTCATTATAAGAGAAATTACTGCTTAGTCCCCAAATTTCTCGACATTTTTATATAAAAACTCTCTTATACCTTTTGGTTTCATTCATTCAACACCACTACCAATCCCCTCTCTAAAAGTTGCCACGTTCATGTCATTGCTAGAGAAAACCTAAAAACAGCAAAAGCATCTCAAGAGAGTGTGCTGCAAGTCTGCAGTTGTAAGTCTGCAGTTGTAAGTCTGCAGTTGTAAGTCTATATTAAGAGAAATTATAAGAAGCCTTTTTTGAGCGTTAATTGCTTGCGCTTCAACGGTGTCTACAGTTAAATGCGAACTGAAGTTTAGCCTAATATATGAAAGGAGCTCATTCTTAGCCTAGAAGTGGGAAGATTTAACTAAAATATATATAAATATAACTAATTATTGACTCATGAGAGCTGACATTTACATACCTTTTCCATTCTCGTATACAATAAGGCTCTAGCTACGGCCTTGTTTGTTGCATTGAACCCTTAATCGACCACATCTTTTTTTTAATCACAACTCATTTGGTTTAGTGATTGTTGCAGATATGCTAAACGGGAGTTCGGGGACCATACAGGGTTATTAAAGAGCTGTTTCTCAGCCATAGAATGCTGTGCTGAAGTATGAAAAAGTCACGTGACGTTGAACCGTTTAAAAAATGGCGGTAGATAAAGAGGTATCAAGAAGTATAAAGAAGCAAGAAGCAATCAGCAAAGCTCCCCACGATTTTTTTTGTGAGCAGAAATTTAATCGTCCGTTCAGGTAAAATTTATCAATTATTTTAACTCTTCAACGATAAGTAATGTCAAATTTTCATTTTATGTGTAGGTTATAATATTGTTTGGCTGTGTAGTTCAGATTAGATTTTAGTGGCTACTTTAAAAATGTTAGGTACCTTGCCATGTATCAGAGTTTTTTGTGGTTTAATTATTCTTTGCCAATGGGTAGTATTGCTAAATGTAATGGTCCTAATTATCATTTACGCAATATGATAATAACATATTCCAGAAGAATGCATTCATTTTTCCATATGATATATGTATGATAATATAATAAAAACTTTATTGTATTATGTAAAATTTATTATAGGATGATACACAAGTCATTCCATACTTACTTCAACTTGTGTTTCTCCCTATACCATATTTCATACTTTATTGGCACTCCTTAAGCATCAACCAGTTTATCTATATGATGTTGTTTACACTAGCTACAACTCTCACTACAAAAACTTCTTTCAATATTATCATTTAGTATACATATGTACATTTTGAATTATTATGATTGGTAATAACAGCTTGTGGATGATTTTCTTTGGCAACCCCTGATTAGTGATAAGCCGAAAGAAAATAAATTTAATAGCTTCTCATGCATATTTACTACTGTATTTTATACTATGTATATGAAGTTTTATATCAGAGTTTCCATGACTGAATTCTTTGTGTTAAGTTTCACATTGCTTCTGCAGAATCATATATTTTTCTTGTTACCTATTTCTTGAATACCTCTTTTTGGAGTTTTCTAATTTTTCATTTCTAATCTTTTAATGTGATAACTTTTATGTTAGAACCATGCCTTAAATTGTCTATCTTTCTTCTTATTTAGAAACTTGATTTCATTGTTTAGACAAACACAAAATATTTGCAAAGTACATGTAAAAAATCAGGCATTCATTGGGAAACATAGTAAACATTTTTATTGATAATCCATTAGCCACCCTTTCTCTAGATTGACTATTATGTTTTTTAAATTCTGTTATACTTATACTATTATTATGAGATATTTTTGTCAATGAGCACCATTTAAAGCAGTTTACCATTGCTTTTACTTTATAGCTTACTACATTAATCTTTGTAGGCAAATTTGCTATCCTTATAGGCATTGCTAGGATGGCTATGTGGCCACTACCCCATGCGAATCAGTCCCTGCTAATTATTGAATTTGCTAAACTATTAATTATTATCCGTTTTCTATCTGATTCATCATCTGTTGATAATGTAAATGTTTTATTAGTTTATGATTTATATTCACCAATATATGTCATCGGCACTAGGATATTACTGTGTTTTTAGTCCAATGATGGATTAAGGTGATGTTTGAAGGGGGGAGTGCACCTTCAAGCCTAGGCAAGAATGAGTGTAAGATGGGTGCAAATTTCCAAAGAATTATTGAATGCAACAAGCAGTTCATCTAAAGCAATTGACATTGAAGTTCAAAGTAGCACATGTACGTCAAAATTTTACAGTTATGTTCTGCATTTTTGATATTCGTCTTACATATGTCTCCCAAATTTGTTTGATACGTTTGCTTCATATAACAAAAACGTCTGACTACCACAGTCCATTTTTCTGTTTCATGCTTTAAATTATTTTTGACCAATCAAGAGTGAAAATGCAATGAGGTAGTCAAAATTAGAACAGATCTTGTTCAACAAGAGTAAGACCAAAAATAGTTGCCTTAACGGATTGTGATGCGTCGTCAAATCCTGTGGGAACGGGGGAGACATGTCCCCTCACACTTAAAAATCATCGATTTCAATTTAGGAAAAGTTTTAATTTTCTGACCCCGCCCCCACCCCACCAATTTTCGAAACAGCACTAAATAGAATATTACTGTGGAAGATGGATTCTTGCGGGCTACCTTAGACTTACAAGGTTATTTGGTCACCAGAAAAAAATAGCAAATTTAAAAAATATTTTTATAATCTTTTTATAGAATATGCACGAGCAAACTCTACAGTCAGCAAAATGCACGAAGAATAAACATAGAAGTACGCATAAGTAGACAGGCACGAAGAATAAACATAGAAGTACGCATAAGTAGACAGGCACGAAGAATAAACATAGAAGTACATAAGTAGACATGCACGAAGAATAAACATAGAAGTACGCAGTAGACATGCACGAAGAATAAACATAGAAGTACGCATAAGTAGACATGCACGAAGAATAAACATAGAAGTACGCATAAGTAGACATGCACGAAGAATAAACATAGAAGTACGCATAAGTAGACAGGCACGAAGAATAAACATAGAAGTACGCATAAGTAGACATGCACGAAGAATAAACATAGAAGTACGCATAAGTAGACAGGCACGAAGAATAAACATAGAAGTACGCATAAGTAGACAGGCACGAAGAATAAACATAGAAGTGCATAAGTAGAAAGGCACGAAGAATAAACATAGAAGTACGCATAAGTAGAAGGCATGAAGAATAAACATAGAAGTACATAAGTAGACAGGCTGAAGAATAAACATAGAAGTACATATAAGGACAGGCACGAAGAATAAACATAGAAGTACATAAGTAGACAGGCACGAAGAATAAACATAGTAGCTAAGTAGACATGCACGAAGAATAAACATAGAAGTACATAAAGTAGACAGGCACGAAGAATAAACATAGAAGTACATAAGTAGACAGGCACGAAGAATAAACATAGAAGTACATAAGTAGACAGGCACGAAGAATAAACATAGAAGTACATAAGTAGACATGCACGAAGAATAAACATAGAAGTACATAAGTAGACATGCACGAAGAATAAACATAGAAGTACGCATAAGTAGACATGCACGAAGAATAAACATAGAAGTACACATAAGTAGACATGCACGAAGAATAAACATAGAAGTACATAAGTAGACATGCACGAAGAATAAACATAGAAGTACGCATAAGTAGACATGCACGAAGAATAAACATAGAAGTACGCATAAGTAGACAGGCACGAAGAATAAACATAGAAGTACACATAAGTAGACAGGCACGAAGAATAAACATAGAAGTACGCATAAGTAGACATGCACGAAGAATAAACATAGAAGTACGCATAAGTAGACAGGCACGAAGAATAAACATAGAAGTATAAGTAGACATGCACGAAGAATAAACATAGAAGTACATAAATAGACATGCACGAAGAATAAACATAGAAGTACATAAGTAGACATGCACGAAGAATAAACATAGAAGTACACATAAGTAGACAGGCACGAAGAATAAACATAGAAGTACATAAGTAGACATGCACGAAGAATAAACATAGAAGTACATAAGTAGACAGGCACGAAGAATAAACATAGAAGTACATAAGTAGACAGGCACGAAGAATAAACATAGAAGTACACATAAGTAGACAGGCACGAAGAATAAACATAGAAGTACATAAGTAGACAGGCACGAAGAATAAACATAGAAGTACATAAGTAGACATGCACGAAGAATAAACATAGAAGTACATAAGTAAACAGGCACGAAGAATAAACATAGAAGTGCATAAGTAGACAGGCACGAAGAATAAACAAGAACGCATAAGTAGAAGGCACGAAGAATAAACATAGAAGTATAAGTAGACATGCACGAAGAATAAACATAGAAGTGCATAAGTAGACAGGCTGAAGAATAAACATAGAAGTACGCATAAGTAGACAGGCACGAAGAATAAACATAGAAGTACATAAGTAGACAGGCACGAAGAATAAACATAGAAGTACATAAGTAGACATGCACGAAGAATAAACATAGAAGTACGCATAAGTAAACAGGCACGAAGAATAAACATAGTAGTGCATAAATAGACAGGCACGAAGAATAAACATAGAAGTACATAAGTAGAAAGGCACGAAGAATAAACATAGAAGTACATAAGTAGACATGCACGAAGAATAAACATAGAAGTACGCATAAGTAGACAGGAACGAAGAATAAACATAGAAGTACATAAGTAGACAGGCACGAAGAATAAACATAGAAGTGCATAAGTAGACATGCACGAAGAATAAACATAAGTACGCATAAGTAGACATGCACGAAGAATAAACATAGAAGTACACATAAGTAGACATGCACGAAGAATAAACATAGAAGTACATAAGTAGACAGGCACGAAGAATAAACAAAGAAGTACGCATAAGTAGAAAGCACGAAGAATAAACATAGAAGTATAACTAGACAGGCACGAAGAATAAACATAGAAGTACATAAGTAGACAGGCACGAAGAATAAACATAGAAGTACATAACTAGACATGCACGAAGAATAAACATAGAAGTACATAAGTAGACAGGCACGAAGAATAAACATAGAAGTACATATAACTAGACATGCACGAAGAATAAACATAGAAGTACACATAAGTAGACAGGCACGAAGAATAAACATAGAAGTACACATAAGTAGACATGCACGAAGAATAAACATAGAAGTACACATAAGTAGACATGCACGAAGAATAAACATAGAAGTTACATAAGTAGACATGCACGAAGAATAAACATAGAAGTACATAAGTAGACAGGCACGAAGAATAAACATAGAAGTACACATAAGTAGACAGGCACGAAGAATAAACATAGAAGTACGCATAAGTAGACATGCACGAAGAATAAACATAGAAGTACACATAAGTAGACAGGCACGAAGAATAAACATAGATGTACGCATAAGTAGAAAGGCACGAAGAATAAACATAGAAGTACGCATAAGTAGACATGCACGAAGAATAAACATAGAAGTACGCATAAGTAGACAGGCAAGCGTTCAAAGTAGACAATGAAAAAATTTTCAGTATACTACCACAAAGTATGTGATACGAATGGACCATGGTTATTATTCCTCTCAAACCTTCTCTGTACTATGCTGTCTTTGAATAAAGGGTGGTCGTTAACCATCACGTAACGCATGCTAAGCTTACATTTATATATAAGATTATGTTTGATATTGTTAGGAAACTTATTTGCTAGAAAATCTTCCTTGTTAAATAATTATATTTAGCTCTGTCTGCATGCTTTCAAGAATTTTTTCGTAAGTTAAAAATTGTTGATAAGAATCACAAAGTGAGTCGTATCCGCTTATTGAATCCAAAAGACTGCTATTCAAAGCATGAATCAGGAAGAAAGGACTGCCTTTAACTATATTTTAGTGTTTTTGTTAGCATTTCTCCACATTCTCATTGCTAACTTAGTTATATGCTCATAATAGCGATTCTCGTGTTGAAATATAGACAAGGTGACAAAAATGGATTTTTAATCATAGTTCTTGAAATAATTAGAATTTAGTTATGAATGCTTATGTTTGAGTACAACCAAATATTAGAAACTACAAAATTATCCTACGCCATTATGGCATTGTGATTATACAAAAGCTAAAGTTTTAAAAAATTGTTTAGGATATTCACTCCTTCGCAGATATGAAGGATGTTTCATCATAAATTGGGTTAGCCTGATGCATGACTACCACCTGTCGACTCTGTCCTCTTGTCTCTAAAAGTTCAAAAGATAACATAAAAATTTAATTTAATTTATAATCAATAAGCTCCAAATAATTCTCAATGTTTGCAATAGTTCCATCTGAATATATTAATATCAGAATTCATAAGCGCAATGTATTTTTTTCGATGAGTGGTTGGGTCTGAAAGTTTTTATTCCGGATTTCAGATTCCGGTATCGGAAGCCCGTATAGTTTTCAAGGATGTGTAAATTGTTTTAAAGTTTCTGTTTACTTCAACTGTTTGCAGTGACAATGAGATATAGTTTGTGTGCACGTGACCTCAAGGGTTCATAGTACGTCATTTCGGGGAAGTGAAGAACCAACATTGCTTCCAGTAATGCAAAACAGTCCATAATCATAGAATGAGGAAACACAGAAAGCTCACTCCATTGAATTTTCTTTTGTGCATATCTTATTACGCATTTGTTTACCATAATGGCGGGCCAGTCAATTGGCCTGTTTTGATTCAATTTGAAAGTCTAACTAAAAATAATCAACGTAAATAATTTTAGAATGAAAGGTCCTACCTAAACCGTGTCATACCTTCTTCTGAAACATCGTCTGTACAGAATAACTATTACCGATATTATGAGGATTAAGCCAAAGCATTCACCCACTGATGGTAAGACGATGTTGAAAATCAAGTTGTTCTTGTCTGTAGTCCTCGTTTTCGTCGATACGAAGAATTTGGAAGAAAACACGATTTTCACTTGGGTTGTGTTCCTAAAACTTGCCCCTCCAGAAATATTAAACAAATGAACAAAAATGTAGACGTCTTTTTCATTTTCTGGTATGGAGTAAAATTGAAGTCGCATAGATGAATTCCACTGGCCTTCCCTCATAAGCACTTCTCCTAATTCAGGAGATACTTTGAATGAACTTTGTTGAAACTCGACTTTCCACGATATATTTATATCTCCGGTCGAACCTTTGAGTCTCATCAGTGGTAAAAACATTTGTTTACTATGAAGTTTAGGATCGTACATCACACTGTCGTTTTTGTCAATGTATCCATAAGGCATCGTGGGCGACATATCTGATTTATAATTTCATGTCAGCAGTAGTAGATGCGTAGTTGCTCCCACCGACAATCTTGCATTTGTTCTTTGCAAAAAAAATTTTACGTCAAAAACCCTTGAGATGATTGTAGGGTATAAAAATGCTTAGAAGTTTTAAAATTTAAAACAAGCAATGTTAAAAACGTTGACTTTGTTGTGAAATGCAGCTGCATCAGGTTTACATAAAGTACACATTTATATATTCACCCATTTACAAATTTATAAATTCAGAACATATGATTATTAAGATACTTGATGGTTTACCCAAGCTAAGGAGCCAGAGCTTTCCCAATTAGCAAGTTGCAGTAAATATAATTCAATCTGCCGTATTAAAGGACATTGGCAACGAAAATTTTTTTTCATACGTTTATCATAATCATAGATAGCTATGGAATACTTAATTTCGTGTTTTCGTGTCTCTTTTGAATTTTGCTGTTGAGAAAATTTGACATCTCAATGAAGATGGTTTGAAAGAATTTAGACTATGTTTTGATTAAATAAACCTCTTAAAACTTTTTTGCGTTCACCACTAAAACCTGTGATCAAGTGATTTAAAAAGGAGAAAGCAATCATCGACATATCCTCTGTAGAGAATAGGTTTGAATTTGTGGGGGCAGTTTTTCATTCAGTTTTGTTCATGGAAATACATGAATATGTTGGCAAAAAGAGGGCCAAGGGGACTTTCCATAGCAACACCATCAATTTCGTGGTATAAGCTGTCGTTAACATAAAGTGGCAATTTCTTACAGATAGCGTGTATTGTAAGTTTGTTCACCAATTGATTTCGTTTTCTTGCGTTGTTTGAGTAATGATTTCAACTGGGTTTCACGTTGTAGGGTGACTTTCACAGAGTCTTCGTTTATGAGTTCAAATTTGGAGGAATCGGAGAGGATTTCTGACATTTTGTTATAGTAGTCGGTTTTATCAAAAATGACACGCTATACTAACTCATTAATGTCAAGTATTCTTTCTCATAGTAACTCCTCCAACCACCCTGCTTCTCCAGATGATTTTAAAATCATCTCATCCTGCTCCAACATATTCGAACACCCAAGGCAGCTCCATCCCTCTTAAGCTTTTCTAGTCTCAACACCTCACCCTAACTATACATCACCATCACACTTACACATTCACAGTAATCTGATACCTCAAACTATGTAAATAGCTCGATATTATATCTTTTCATTTTTGAATTTTAATGACTTTTCTTACACTGAAACAATCATTACTAACTGAGAATCACCTAATTGAAAACGAGGCATCTTAGGCCCCGTCTACACGTATCCGGATTCATTCGTATCCGCAAATATTTTGTTGCAGTTACACTTATCGTCCAACCGTATTCAGCGAAAACGCCAGTGCCTTTTTTAAGGAATTTTTACTTGAAAGCGCGATTCTCTTACAAAAAAAATTCCATTGTATTGTATAATTTATAGTAGTTGACAACCGCAGTACTTGATAGAGTAATGGAGGATCTGACGTAAGTGCATAAAAAATCTGGGACTTATCGCACCCCTGAGTTGGCCTTCTGTTCATTTCCTATTTTGTGCTTTAACGTAAGTCAGGTCCATTTAACTTTGTAGAGATGAAATGTAAGTACTTTGTATTTACTGGCGAAGTAAGAAATTTATGGAAGAAATGGTTATAATCTTTGTAATGTGAATGGTTTTACTATTCGCAACTAAAAAGTTAAATTTATAGTGGTAAATATGTTGTGAAAGGACGGTCCATGATATCTGTACTGTAAGGGTTAAATAGGGAGGTTACACCATAAATTAATAATATAAAGTTATTAAAAGAACATTGTATAGCGTCATTTGTATGTGAACATTTACATTGAGGTAGGAAAAATGACTATACTCTATAAAGATGAAAAGTGGAGAATGAAAAACATGATCCAGGTTTTATAGAATTTCAATGAGTTGATATGTGTTAAATTTTGTTTGAAATAATATGAGGTTATTATGAAGGATCACGGTGGTCTATTTTTACAATTTGAATACAAACAAAAGAAATCATCTTTAAACTAGAGTTTTGTGACCAAATCTTTCAATCTGTAGTTGTCAATATAAAGAGACCACGTCTTGACCTCATTCAACGCGTTTAAATTAAAAATATCGTTAAAATGTTACGATTTCTTCTGCGTTTTAATGTCGTTATGCAAAAGTAACGATGCATGACGTTGTAGGGTAGGTTAGGATTCATTAGACCTTAATGAATTTAAAAACTGGACTTTAATTTTGACCAAATCTTCATTGAATCTTGCAGTCATATCTTGATAAGTTAAGGTTCTGAGAATGGTTTAAGGGCGTTCTGATTGACGTCACCAACATCTTCAAGCTCAAAATTATAATATTAGCGTTATTTAATAGGCTAATTATATTTAATTAATAAATAATTGGCGTAATATCGCTTAATAATGGTCAATTGTTACTAGCATTTTATGTATATTAATGTAGGGAGAGCACAGTTCTTTTGTTTGGCAACAATACGTTTTGTTTTTAAAAATTAGATTTCATAGATATCCGATAATTTGTTCAAGTACAAACAATGTATTTTAACCCTATAGAGGCCGTTGTTGCTCACAGGCAACAATCACCAAACGAGATGTGTAAGAACTTTTGAAAAGGCACGGCTCCCAGAGGGTTAAACAATCATGTGGAACAAATACATATAATGACATGCTTAACACTATTTATAAAGATATTATTCACTTTAAGCCACATATAAACCACGAGGCGTCATGGAAGGTAAATGTTGTTCATATGAGATGGAACAAGACTTTACACATAGACGACAAGTATAAAGATTTGAGATTGTGCCAAGCACAATAAAGTTGTTGCCTTCAACTCTCCTCGAAGACAAGTTACCGAAACAAGTCTCATTTGATTGCAGATGTATTTAAACGTGTTGATAAAAAATCAAGACCGCCAATATCTAAATGCTACTGAACAAGGACATACTGCACATATTTAAACATTTGAAAGCCACGATGTACAGATATATACTATCAGTATTACGTCTTAAATGTTGATAGCAGCAGCAAAAAGAAACTTCAAAATCCTGTATGAAAATAGATCCTACGGCTGGAAACTACAAATGTAAGTGTCTAAACTGACGATAATTGATAGTTTGTTTTTGGATTTATCTCTATTGTTCTTGTGAAACTCTCAATGGTTTTTATTGATGCTACTTATTTCTGGTTTGTTTCTTCAATATCACATTAGTTATAACTGAATATATGCAATGAATATAAATAGACTAAATTTGCCATCTGTCTCCAATGCACTTTGTGGTTGAGTGCATAGAAGTGCAGCTTTCATAGATTAAGGTGTAGACTTGCAATGAACGAAAGCCGTAATTGTTTTTATGCTCGTTTTTCTACGACTCTCTACTATATTTTTAGTAGTAGAACCTCGGGGATAACAGAAGCCCTTAAATTTTTTCCTAACCTTAACTTAGCAACATATGACTGCAAGATTCAATGAATATTTGGACAAAAATAAACTCTAGTATATAAATTCATTATCGTCTCATGAATCTTAACCTACAACATCATGCATCTTTGCTTTGCGTAATGACATTAAAATGCAAAAAATTGTAGATTCTAATAAATTTCTTTGTTCAAATAGATAGATGTGGTTACATATTGTCTCTGTGAAAGGTGAAAAGCTCAAAGCAGCCAATCACAATAAAAAATTTTAGTCATGACGTAATTTAAACAAATGTTAACAACGGAAACTTAGTAACTTTAACGTTGTAGAAAGAAAGGTGAATTCTGTCTTTTTACTGACGAAGTACTGAAGTATGAGTTGCATGGAATAATCAACTAGTCTTAATGATAGTACTCATAATATGAAAGCTTTCAATGTAAAATGCTTTGATAACGATGTAAAGCCTTTGATCCTTTGAAACTTGTTACATCTTTCAACTTAACCGGCTAAAGATATTTGTGCAATGTTGTGAATGTTCTACCATTTGGATAGTCAAAAGAAAACATATAACAATTTGCTCATTCGCAATACATCTGATTAAGAATTTAAAAACGCAAACTAACGTCATATGTAGAGTTCTTCGTCATGAAATGTCGTAGATATGTTTCATATTTTTTTATATTGTAGATCCCACATGGATAGAGTTGTGAAAGTCCCTTTACCACCTGTGACTTTCACTTCAATTACTCTTACTAGTTTGTCATTACTCATGTGCCATGGTGATTCAAGGCGAAAAATGTTCATTTGCAGTTTGGACTCTTTGTGGATGTCAGTTGTTTGTTCATATAATGATGATGGGCCCCATTTTTATATGAGCCCACCAAAAGGTGGTCAGCTGACATTCATAGGAAATCAAATCTGCACTAAGCATTATTTGAGTGATGATATAACTGGGGTATTGAAGTGATCTTTTTTCCTTCACTTGAAGTTACCATAAGAGTGCATTGTAAACAGTAATCTATCGAAATGGTGATTCATAATGCCAGTAGCCCCTTTATTGGTTACGTCGATTACTTTGTGTATGGAATGGTATAAACATATTGAATGGATATTCCATAACGGCATTTGTACATGTGAGCATTAAAATTGAAATGATTGGACCATAATCTACGAAGATGGAAAACAAGCGAGTGGAAAAACATGATCTATGTCTTGTGGTTTGTAAGTTGAGTAGATAAGGATTAAAATTAACTTATAGCTATGAGTAACTGCATGAGATATTCAAAAATGATCCCGATGGTCTATTTTTATAATTTGAATTATAATCATGAAAAACACCCATATTAGTTAAAAAAAGTCGATAAAAGACGTCAATTGCTGTGAGAAAATAGCTGGCTTTCACTCTCTACTTTTATAAATTTATTAAACGTTTATAAACAAAATTGCAATGCTGCAAGTAGGGTTCATTAAATTTTTAAGATAAATATGTTACGATATACACGTTACAAGATACACGTTACCATATACACGTAAAAACTGCGCTGTTAAAAAGTGGAAGAGACCTACTAAGATGCCTGGATCAGACGGACCAGGACAATGCTTGAAAATCAGGTATTAAAGTTTTGTTCTTTTTTAAAATATATAATTTCTGTTTTTATTCATTCATTATGCTGACATTTATAATGTGTTTTTTATAGAGTAGCTATGTCTGTAGGCGTAATAACTAGACATTGAATGAACGTTCAAGTTGGACAGAAGCACGAAGAAACAAGCATCCTTATTGAAAGATTCCCACTTGCGACTTTCGTTATGCATACTATTAATCAGCATAACGCATTTTTAAATTCAACCGTTAAAAATTTCCGTAAAACTAAATTTTCACGATTGTTAAATTTTCGGACAAAACACACGAGTGAAAGCCAGCTATTAATGAAGGTCTTAATAAAGCAACATAGAAATTTTGATAGAATGAAATCTAGTAGACATCAAAAATAATTTGTATGCAAGTCACGAGACGTCACTTTGGTCATTTCATTTTTTATTGTTTGTTGGTCTGTGAATGATCAGGTCGAACGTATTGAATGAATTTTTCATATGATTTCATTTCTTTTCTTCAAACACAAACAAATAGTGTAGTCAGCCCACTTTTTTGTCGCCGCTTTTTTTGTCGCTTTGCAAATTAAGATACGAACGACGAAGCTACGGTCTGACTACGCTGCATGCTAAAGTAGATCATCGGGATCATTGAAAACAACAAAAATATGAAACATTTTAAAACAACAAAAATTTTACTAAATTTTTCGAAATTTTGATCTTTTTATTTATTGGAGGGTTTTTTACCAGATCCACCGGTTTTCCCTCCCATTTCGTTTTGTGTTGGAAAAAAAACAGTGTCCACATTTGGGGCCAAGGAAGTCATTTGTAATAACATTATTTATTGTAGCTATCATGAATATTCACGTTTATTTTGTATTTCTCGGCCTTTGGGTATATTTCCCAAAACACTGCGTTTAATAAATATAATGGCATATATTTTGAAAGAAATATGTACGCAAGTTTTGTGCTCAGTCAGATCTTCTGAGACAAATTTTTTTAATCTTCCGCATCAACCGACTTAGCGAGAAAATAAAAATAATTTTAAACAGTATGGAAGTGTGATTTGCGTACATGATGAAAACTCCATGATTCTTTCATCTCACTAAGGAGTCCTTTTTACTTAAAATATTGCTTTAAACATGAGCAGAGACAAATTTTTACATTACTCACGGTAATACGCTTAGCCTAATAATATTAGCACACACCATTCGACAATTTTCTTTCCTACCATGAAGTGAGATGTTTTATGTCTATACCAAATACATTCGCAATGATATAGAGAGAAATGATAACACCAAATACACAGAGATTATTCTTGATAATAGATAGTTTGAGATTGAGATTTTTAAACTACAATGTGCTTCTCAGCGTCACTGCACATCTGAGGTTAGCATTATCTTAATGACTATTTTCATTACATCCTTTACTGTTGTATCGACAGTGTTTTTTCTCATAGCTAAGTAATTATAATTGCGTGCGGTTGATGTTTGAAATGTTTTCGTAAGTTACAATGGTTTATTCAATAATAAAGGTTCTTTATAATATGAACTGACTTGTGCAAGAATATGCATGTATGGATTTTTGCTCAATGAAGTAAAAAAATCCGTTTACAGCTTTCAAAATCGTGTCATAATCATTGACATTTAAATCTTGTCTTAGATCAGTGATCATCTATTCCTGCGTTAAAACTTGTGAAACTTTATAATATTTAGCAGTAGTCCTTCGGAATTTGACTAATCTCAATGTTATTATGTACTTTGCGTGAGATTCTTATTTATGTATTTTTATTTCTATAACAATTGTTTTTAGTCAGTGATGTATACTTAGTTATATAACTAGAATGTTCTACACAGATGTCATAAATGTTTTATAATACTGTTTGTTAAAGGAAATCCTGGCTCACTCTTCATCTTCGTTCGTTATTTAAATGTGTTTATGAAACAAAACTTACATGGATAAAAGATTGTTGTAACAATAAGGTATGAATTAAGATCGCTATTTTTTAGTGATATTGATATTTATGTGGTCGCGTACTTTATATTAAATCTCTCGTCTTTGTAATGTATGCGACATGTAAAGAACTAAAGCAAGCATAATTTTGTCTACACGGTCGTCATATATGAAGTCTTATTGCTAAAACAAAGATAATTTGTTGAAAGTAAAGTGAGATTCTGAAACTATATTACTAACTTTACATAACAAATTTGCTACTAAAGCATCTCGATAATGTATGAACAAACATGCATGAGAAATCATATTTAAGTTGATATACCAACTTTCTAACTATTGAAAATAAGCTGGATGGTAAAGGAACAGTAAAACCTGTTCAAACGTATGGGGAAAAGCAGAATAACAGCAGAATAAACTGTAACTGACACTAGTGGCAGTCCCCAAGAATCGAAACAATATTTTTGTTAATGTAAACTTACGAACGCGTAATTTATTAGTACTTCTAACTCTTTATGGAAAATATTCGAGTCATTGCGATCTGGATATAAACGTGAACAATCGGTAATGATACTTTACTTATATCTAATTCTAAGTACATTTTCTGTATGTATCTAGTTGACATCTACTATCAATAATACCAAATGTTGCGTGTGGGTGCCAGAACTTTTATACCGTAGGAGTTATACAAACTATACTTGTCTATAGAAAAATGAGAATACGTGAAAATTTATGTAGAGGGGAACATGTCCAATTCGAAAATTAAACTCGACTTACCTGAAGTCGAGGTTTGATTGAAATTCTATGAGTTACTGTTCAGGAACTAGGAAGTCATGTGAGATAGAGCGCGCGATATCAAGATAAGTTTTTCAAAAATTTGTGAATGTCCACATACATATTGGGGAGGCAAGTAGCATTTAACATCATTTGAAAAGAAGCAAGTTAGTAGTTGGGTGGGTGACTTCCTAGTTCCTGAACAGTAACTCATAGAATTTCAATCAAACTTCGACTTCAGGTAACTCTCGTTTAATTTTCTAATTCTATTTCGTCACTATTCTACGTAACTAAGAAGTCATATGAGATTTTAAAGCAATGTGGACATGAGCAATAACTAATCACAAAACAATATAATTGAAATTTCACATTTCATGTCTCACAAATTGCAGAGAGTATATCATTGCCAAAGTTCTTCGCCTCAATTGGTTTATTAAGTTTGTAAAGTTTGTTCATTACGCCATGTAACTGCATTCATAATAGTGTTCATAGAAATTTTCAATGCGTTTGCCGCAGAAGTTGATGCAGTTCTAGTACTGTGTGCACTGTAAACCTCAGTATTTATACCAGCATCTTTTAACACGTATTTTAACCATGGGGAAATGGTCGCTAAAGTGACCGAATGATAAGGTTTTTGATAGCTCAATAGGAGTTGTCTTGCACCATTTCATATGGGTGCAGTGGAATTTAGAAATAGGGACAAGTAATTAAATACACATAACTCAGGCTCTGGTGGATAAGACCGAAATTCTAAAGGAGCAGCATGCTTAACAGGTTTAGATGTTTTGAGCAGTTGGTGCACATGAAAAACTATTCGATCTTTCTTGTCCATATGAGAAATATCCAATGCATGAAGTGTTCGGCATCGCTGACCAGATAATAAAGCTAAAAGAATTACTGTTTTTAGTGTTAATGATTTCAAACTGAAATCGTTCGAAGGGTGGAGATTTCGCAGATGTTTGAATACCACTGAAACGTTTCAGACCATGGTATATCTAGGAAGAGCTGGTCTAGCAACAAATACACCTTTAAAAACCTAGCAACGAGTGGATGTGTATCAAACGAGATGCTACTTGGTAGCATTAGGATAGTAGATAAGGCGCTCCTTGCAGTATTAATACCGCTGTAGGATAAACTTCTTGGTATAATTTTGTAAGAAAATTAATGCTCTCTTCTACAGAGGACGCGACAGGAACGATATTGTTTGCGTTGCAATATTGTTGCCAACGGTTAAGGTATGTAGAATAGTAATTCTTGGTACCGGTCCGCCAAGACTGTTGGATGATTTGAGAAGCCTCTGGTGAAATGCCTCTATCAGCGAGGAGTTCCCCGATAAAGGGCAAAGTAGTAGCTCCAGTTTTGTATGGAGAGGGGGGATTTGATCCGAATGCGCTGGAAGAGTTAAGATCAGTCTTTCTCTAGGTAAAACAACAGGATGTGCTATAAGCATCTGCATTAAAGCTGGCCAGTAACTTTGTGTTGGCCAGTTAGGGACTAAGACTAGTCCTGTGCTTTTATCTTGTACTATTTTTTGTAACACTTGCGAAATTATGCTAAAAGGTGGGAACGCATGAAATGTATAAATGGCCCACGATATCGTAAAGGCGTTGACAGATATAGCATACGAGACAAGTTAGTATGAAACATAGGGTTTCACTTGATTATTCAACCTTGACGCAAACAAATCATTGTTCGGAGTTACGTCTAGTTTTTGAATGGCGCACGTAAACAGAGTCAAGTTCAACTGCCATTCTGTTTCTGCGTGATATTTGAGATTCTCCATCCGCAATGACATTTTGTAATCCTGGAATGTGCGCTGCTGTCAACCAAATATCATACGAAATGCAGCAGGTCCAAACATTGCATGTCAACTTGTGAATAGACCTTGAGTGGCATGTGCCCATTTGATTAATTCAAGTTACAGCGGTAGTATTATCAATTAATACCTTAACATGCTGACCTTTTGTTCTGAAGAAAACGACTCAAGGGCAAACAATACCGCAAGAATTTCCAAATAATTTATATGATTTGAAGCCTCCAAGAGCGTACAGCTACCCCCTGCACATACACCATTTAGGGAGCAGCCCCACCCTGTCGACGACGCATCTATTGTTAGGCATATGCTAGGTTCATTGTGTTATGTTTATTAATTTATGTTAATTTAATAGGATTTACGTTATTAGTTATGTTAATGGTTATAAAGCTTAAATATATAAAAGGAGTTAACTTGTACTATCTAGGCAGTGGTAAAATACACATAACTGAAATATGCAACACTACACATTGTGAGTAACTTGCCTGTATGTCGTGCATATTGATGACTGCCACCATCGTAAATCATGTATGGCCTCTAAAGACAAGGTCATTGTCTTGTCAAAATTACCCCGGTTTAACTTAAGGGCATCGCTTTTATCCATTTCCAGCCAGCGATAATGCAACTGACCGTACATTACGCCCAAGAGACTCGAAGTGAGAGTGCTCAAAACCGGAGAAACATCTCTTATTTTTGGGTGAGAAACTTGTAGCAACTCATGACACATGCGTTTTATCTTCTCAGCTCGATCTGTCGTCACAGATATTTGCATAAGAACGGAGTTAAGTCGGAAACCCAAAAAAGTAATTACTTGTGAGGGAACTAAAACTGACTTATCCGGATGTACGTAAAACTCCACTTTACTAAATAAGCAGATGGTATCTCGAATATTCCAAACGCAGGAAGCATATGTGTCAGCCAAGTATCATCAATAATCCAACCAAAATATGTCCTTTTTGACGTAACTTTGAAAAAACAGGTCTAGGGAGTTTTGTAAATTTTCGTGGGCAGATGGCTAGGCCGTTAGGAAAACAGACCAATTTATATAGTTTCCCTCTCCACCAAAATTTAAGAAATTTTTGATATGCTGGGTGAATAGGTACAGAATAGTAAGCATCTTTGAGATCGATGGATGCCAAGAAAAAATTTGGTTTCATAGGCCTAATAGCTGACCAAACACACTCTATTTTAAAGTAGTGATATCTGATAGGCCTTTTCAAGGATTTCAGATTAAGAATCATGCGAAAAGAACTGTCTTTTTGGGGCAAGTGAAAATTGGAGATACAAATTCCCGATTCAGGGTGAGAAATCTGCAAAACGCTTTTTTTGCGTAATTTGTTTATTTCTAAATCAATATTGTTCATTTCAACCTCGGGTAGCTGTATTTGCTTGGGTAAAGCTCTTTGAATCGGAATTGTGTCAAATTCAATTTTTTTCCTGACACTGTCTCTAAGATTTTCTTATCAGAAGTGAGTGTTTCCCATGCACTTGAAAAATATGATATGCTGCCAGCCTGATAGGTCTCCAAGCTTTTATTTAAATACGCTATTAGCGTGGGTACAAAAGAAGAATACTGGTTCACCTGTACAGTCTTAAAATTTTTTAAAAATTCAGTCCTTCCTACTTGCAATCATTCATTGTGTCCGATCGTTTCTTCTCGAATTGTTTCATCTTCGGCCGATAGGGGTGTTGCCCTGATGACAGGATAAAAAAGGGCGCCATTGTCGTTTCCCTTGTTTAGAATGTTGCTGCCAAGTGGTATTAGAAGAACTTGTTGTCGCGTTGCCAATCTTGTTGGAAGTGCGAATGTGATTAATTTGGGTTTGCAATTCATCTCCAAACAAATATTCCGTAATGAGAACATGCGATGCGCATAAAGTACTAAATTCTCGATGGAGATTGGGACGTATAGCGTCACATCGTCGTTGAGACAATTCAAAACTTACATGTACCAGGATCGCTATGATATCAGCGTTCATACGAAAAAGATTATCAATATTCAGTTCGCTGCCCTTATTTCGAGCAACCAACAGATCATTCGTGGTTTGTGCTGCTACACGACCAACATTCGTATCTGATGGAATGGCACACAATTGTAAATTACGCCCTCTAGCTGTGCGGTCTAATTTTCCCCAAATTTAGGGGCTTACCTTAGGTACAATAATGGGATCGCAGTTCTTAGGCCTAAAATATTTAGCCCGTTTTTTCTTCAATTGCTCGTCACTAAGCTTATCCAGCCAACGCTGGTTGATAATTGAGGCGAGCTTCTCGTTTTCGATTGGTGAAGTTTTCTCGGTTTCGTCTAGAGTCTGCAAAATGTCTTCCAGAAACGGGTCCACTGCTAGTTGTTCTGCTTCAGATTTGCGCTTGGTCGAAGGTTCTTCGTTTTGTGCCGACAAGATTTCACAATCTGCATCATGCCCTGATTAAGGAATTAAAGCACTTGCTTTTCTCTTACGAGTAGATTCTACTGTAGAAGATACTAGAAGATTCACTCATTGCAGTCATTGCTTCACTCATCCTACAAAGGGTGGTTGCCACCTTCAAATTCTTTGATGTGACTTGCACTTCTTCGCTTTCTTCCATCATTTCACCTTGATCATCGTGTTCAGCAAAACCCAGGAGTGCTGCTTCATCTCCGACATCATCTCTTGTCGTATACTCTTCACTTGTAGAAGCCATAATTCAAGAAATTTGTAATATAGTGTGGAAAGGAACTTTTTGTAACTGATCGCTGTGAAATCTACGCTCGAACTGATCTTGATATCGCGCGCTCTATCTCACATGACTTCCTAGTGACGTAGAACAGTGACGAAATGGAATTATAGATTTATAGTGCCATTGTCGCACAACCTAAGCTTTCTGTTGTGCGGGATGCTAAATCACGATTCTTTTGACGACAAACGTTGGTTTATTACCACGAGTATTAATATCCAAAAATGCGTATCCAATTCGTCTTTTCAAGACTTTATCTCAATGCGTCACCATGCATTCATCAAATGCGTCGATAAAATGCGACCATCAAAAATGCGTATTGAAACAACCAGAAACAGCGTTTGCAGCCTCTATATATACTAAACATTCAACAAGATAAAATTACAAAGTTTCCTCTTTGCCACGATTGGAAAGAAGGTCTTCCTTAGCAACTCAATGCTTTAAACTTCTCATGACAAATGCATGTGCGTAATTTAACGTAAATAGTTCACATTTTACCATGCTTTTACTTCTTTAGTAATGTTCGTGCTTACAGAAAGAGAAAGATACTTCACTTGTTTTGATTACTTATGAAAATTTCTTGCCGTATATTATTTTATACTGATAAGTTTTACATCGTCCATATTATTATTGATAAATTTATAAAATTTACGACAAGCCAGGTCACGTTGCCAGAAAAACTGTCTGTTGCTCATTTCTTTTGCTGTTTTTCAGTTTTTCCAATTTTTATGAGCACAAAACGGTTAAAGCCACAAAGAATTCAACATAATTTATGTATTTTTTTAATGATCCTTTTATTCGTTTGAAAATGACTGACTCAAGTAGTACCAGCTATTGTCTGACTATAACTGCTGATCTTTGTTTGGAAACTCATACTTTGACAAAAAATGGCCATTTGGATCGATGTTTAGATAAATTTTGGCCTATTTTCTATTCTAATAATTTTTCAGAATCATATTGGTAATTTATTATAAAAGTCTATTTAAGAAACATAAATCTGGTGAGAACCATATATGGACAATGAACATGATTATTGTCTACATTTCAGCTGTATCCAATTACAAGGAAGTGAATCAGAATGATCTCGTGATGAGCCCATCCTTTACATTTGAATACACACGTCTACACTACAATACAACGAAAGACAAAAATGAAGAAATATTTCATTATAAAACTGTGAATTTACGTTGTGCAACGAAGAAATAAGTGTTGAAACGTAGAAATAGTCGTTTTGGGTCATATTTGGTAAGTAAAATTCTATAAAACATTGATTTTAAAACATTGTTTAGCTACTCTCAGCTTTTACTATCACTATCACAGCTTTTACTAACGTTTTATATTTGAACTTTGATATAAGTTTTTCAGTTGGCGGTTGATTTATTTAATTTTAAAGTTTTGTAACCTATTTTTTTCCATTATTTTTCTTCGTTTTTAGTTTGAAATTCAAACAAAGGCTTCTCGATTAAAACCAAACATTGTTCATTAAAGTAATTCAGAGTATTTACAGCATTATATTCTAAATAAACTTCTTGTTTGAAAATGGCTTCACCACCTCAAAAACTGAAGATTGAAGCAAACGGATCTCGTTTAAGTAAACTCTTGATAAATAAAGGAACACAAGCTTTGAAAACAACATTGCAGTTTATTATAAATTTTCGTTCGTCAAACCTAAGCGATGAACTTAATAAAGCCTCAAATAAAACTACATTGGAATCATTAAGAAAAAGAAGCGTCATCAACAAAGAGCAATGGGACCTTCTTTACCCATCAACTGGTTTGCCAAACCTTCAAAACTTTGATATTTCATTATTGACTGTCTTATTGCGTAACATATGTTGTCTAACAGCGCCACATGGTGGATGGGATAATATTCCTTTCTCTTCAGATACTTCAATCTCAGCAAATATTGCAAGAATAAAGTTTTATCGAAACAAAGTGTACAGTCACATAACCACGACTAGTGTAGATGACAGTGAGTTTGAGCATTTGTGGCAGGAAATTTCAAAAGCATTGGTTGGTCTGGGTATTCAACAAACTGAAATAGATGAATTGAAGGAAGCTCGTCTCAGTCCTGATGAAGCAAATTATATTGAAATGTTAAAAAACTGGTGTACTGTTGCTAAGAAAACAAAAGAAGATGTGGAAAATATAAAAAATGACGTGGAGGAAATTAAAGAAATCGTGTCAACAAAAGCTGATGTTGTTGGAGTAAGAGAAACGATACAGGACAAAACATATTCAGATGTCGAAAAGCTTGGAAAGTGTAAATTCAACGGTCTTATAAAAGATCTTAACATGAAATATCTTGAAGGCACTAGACAATGGTTATTTGAAAAACTCAACACTTGGTTTAAAGATAGAAGTGAAGATGCTACTAATGTCATGATTTTAATAGCCGGTCCTGGTGTGGGTAAAAGTGTGTTTGCTGCTGAGGTGTGTCGACGTTATTCTAAAAAGAAGAAACTTGCAGCTTGTCATTTCTGCAGATATAATCGATCAGATTATAGAAATCCTCGAAAATTAATAGAATCATTGGCTAGTAGCATGTGTGATACAATATCAAATTTTAAAAGTAAACTGAATGAAGAATTACAGAGAAACAATTCCAAAGAATCGATCACCGATGAATTCCTTGTTTTATTAAATAATCCATTGCATTCATTGGAAGATCATGAACCAATGCTTTTGGTTATTGATGCCTTAGATGAAAGCCAAGTTGATGGCAAAAGTGAATTGTTGGAATTGATTGCAGAAGAGTTTGACCGACTACCTAAATGGATTAAAATCTTCATCACCAGTCGTCCAGAACTTCCTGTTCAAAAGGAGTTTAAAGACATGAATCCTGTGGAAATTACAACAAAACCTCGTGATGAAAACAACGAAAAAGACCTGCACAAGTATTTGAGACATCAGTTGAATGATCAGGTGCAGGAAAATCGCTACCTTCTTCACTCATTAGTTAAAAAGTGTGAGGGATCATTTCTTTACGCTTATCACGCACAACTGAGCTTCAAGAAAGAAGAAATTGAGCTTACATACGAGAAAATTGATCAATTGGTCCCTAGTGGGTTAAGCCGTGTTTACACAAAGCAATTTAAAAGAGTAACAGAATTGTTAACGAAGAAAAGTACCAAAAAATCTGTTATCTCAGAAACTACTTTCGTGCAATTTCTTGAATTGTTGGCTGCCTCTCGGGAGTTTTTGCCATTAACTTTCCTGTTCAGCTTTTTAGGTTTTTCTGATGACATCAAGTTTGAAGTCCGCAGTAAAATCATTGAACCGTTATCTCAAATTTTGCCAATTTACGATGATTATTTGACCGTGTATCACAAATCTCTAATTGATTGGTTGAAATCAGATGGTTACGAACAGCATGAGTTTACAGTTGATCCAAAAAATGGTCATAAGTTTTTATGGCCTGCTTGTGAGAAAGTGTTTAAACAAATTAAGTCGATGAACCTTTTTAAAGATCAGATGAACACTGCTATGATTAAATATGCTTTGAAGAATGGAGTCCACCATATGATAGAATGTGGCGAAAATGTTCACTTTAGTTGGGCAGTTGATGTCAAAGTGGTTTGTGCAAGGTTAATGGGTGTAGAAGACATTGGCATGTATACCATTGACTCTGAATTGCGTGAAATTATTGAGGAGCGGCGTACTTTCTTGAAAAAAGATGTACTTGAGGAGCTACTATTTCATTTATTGATGAAGTCAATGAGAATGAGATATAAGTTTGGTCATAGCTTAATTTATTTACAAATTATTGCAAACGGAATTGATAGGAAAAACGAAAGAAGATTATTGGCAAGGGATTTATTGAAACAAGGAAAGTTTGTTTGGTTTGAGGATTTAGACTCAACATATTTAACAAACCATCATCATTTGACTGTCTCCTTGCGTGCTAACGTTACATCTCTTTGTGTGTCGTCCAATGACGAACTTCTTGCTGTAGGATATGAAAATGGTCAAATATCAATTTTTGAACTTCCTGAATTCAAACAACGATTCACTCTTGGCACTGCACTCGATGATTCAAGGTTAAATAAGTTAAATGTAAGCAAAATTATGTCCCGGTATAACATCTATCACAATTCAACAACATCAAACGAATCGTGTTTTGTACGTGGAAACATCTGTCGTTGCTCCTTTTCACCTACCGGAAATAGACTGGTAACTAGTGATGGATCTACTGAAGTAAAGTTGTGGGACGTTAACAATGGACGTTTGTTATTATGTTTACAGTCAGATGATGTCGTTGATCGTTGCTCTTTCTCAGATTCAGGTTTGTTTATTACAGCAAGAAATGATGAAGGTTTTCAGTTTAAGTTCACTGCATGGAATTCATTAACTTTGCAAAGAATTGATCGACGCTGCGTTGTTGATTACCAAAAACTACAATGCACCGATAAATATGCAGAGTTCTTTTTTACAGTCTTTGGATATCGTTCGTATGTTTTTCAATTCCCAAAGGCAATCGATATTTTGGCAAGAAAAAATAGGTATTCACTATCTTCAAATTCAAAGACAACCCACCATTATCGTAATTGTTTTTATTATCATACAAGCCAGCTTGTAAAGCTTTCTGAAATCACTCAGTTGACAAAATACAACAATCAAGGAGAAATCGAGTTTTGTTTACCAAATGTTAGTTGTCAATGTCTTCGTAGGAATCTTAACAAAGTGCATCCAATCTCGTTTAAGGAATTTTATGTTGTGCCGTATTTTTCCAAGCTTAAAATTTTCAAAACTGATCATCTTTGGAGACCTTCATTTATCTTTGAGAAATCTGAAATTGAATGTTGTTGTTTTTCGCCGGATGGATCTTTTTTGGCTGCTTTCGCTGTTGGTGATCACGTCAACATTCGTATTTGGAGCATTGAACGTTGCACTATTATTCAAACTGTACCAATGCAACTGAAGAATGCATGGGGATGTTGGTGGTCAGATGGTTTACTGTGTATATGGGATGGTTCTGATCATCTTTGAAGATATCAACTTCGTCTGAAAATTTTGTAGATTCATCTCAAGCAAAGCAAGTTAACTTTGGATTTGAACCTAAGAAAATCTTAACATTTGGTGATGTCTTAGTTTGTCAAGACCATAAAGGTTTTGTTCAAGTTGTTAGAATTACCAAGGGTGAGATAAAATACAACAAAAGACTTCCTGTCGACAGTTTTGAATTGAAAGCAGCAGCTGTATCACCTGATAATTCTGTTATTTTAACTGTAAACAAAACAGAATACACATTATGGAAATGGGAAAATAACAACAATGAACTTTACTTAAAACCTTGGCATACTGCAGAAATACCCATAACAGCTGTCATTAAAACATTTGTTTGGAAACAGATAACTGTAAATGATCTAGAGTTCACTTGCTGTATAAGTGATAGTAAACAAGCAGTCATAACATTTTGCAAAGGCATCAGATGTATGGGCATTTATGTAATTAATGTTCACGAGAATGGTGATGTGAATGCCATTTTCCATGATGTCGGTAAATTATATTTGGAATCCAACCTAGTCGTACACAAATCTTATTGCATTGTAGTGTCTTTTGAGTCATTGCGTGCTGTAGATTTAAAGAGTGGTGAAACGTGCGCTAAATTTCGCGAAGGAGATTATTTTATGCCTAATATAACTATTCATTCCAACACAGGAACTTTAGCTTTGGTTGACAATATAGATTGCCGAATTCAATTTTTAAAACTTAATGTTCCTGAATAAATACATCAACTCAAACCTTAATAGTAAATTCAAAAAGCTGTTGAGAAAATTGCACATAGATGTTGATGGTCGTAAGGATGATTGCTTGTTTCCACCTACTATAGTTTTCTACTGAAGAAGTTTACTTATTCAACCAGGCAATCTTTAAGAAACTATTTATATTTACCAAAAATAAATTTGGACCAATTTTGGAAACGATTTTTTAAATTTATCGGTACTATTTCTTGCAATGTCTTACCTCCTGCTATTAAAAAATGTAAAACATCTATGTTTTGCAATAATCTGAAACGATGTATAATTGCTTTTTATAACACAAATGACTTGTATTTAAAAAGAGCGCTTCTTTACTAATTGATCATGAATATTTGTTTATTCCTTTCTAAGATTCTACTTGTAATCTTCATAAATGAATTGTCATTTAAACAGGGCATTCTCTAGATTAAACTACTACTGTAAGATGCTCTGTCAAACTTATTATTATGTATTGTATCTCTGAACAAATTTCATGTTGATGATTTACTTTTTAATAAAAATGTATGGTTAGATAATTTGGTTATTTTTATTTAACAAATAGATAACATTTAACAGTTGTCTATACAGTTATAGATACACTGGTATGACGTCATTGTGATAAAAACTGAGTGGCCACGAGCCGCCGGGCAAATCAATGTTTGAAAACCGGATTTTTTCCTTTTCTTTTTGCTCAAATGCATCCAATGCTTCAACTAGGCATTCTTAATTTGTTTATTTGCCCATTCAGGGATATATTCAGGTAAATATTCAAATAATTCTCCGTTCGTTTGTGATTTAAAAACAAAGAATTTTCTGTGAGTTCAATTCCGTGCGTCTGTCCTGTTATAGAACATTGCTCTGGAGTTTTATGGTCATTAGTTGAAAAATGTGAGAGACCATTTTTGTTCCTCTATTATGTACAAATGAACTTAAAGAAACAAAATTTTATATAATGTTAAAAATTCCCGTATAAAAAACATCATCATGACGTCATGTCAATAACTGTGATGAAAATCAATAAAACTTTTACGTTTTTGACATAAGTTCATTTGAATTAAGAAATTAAATTTTTTTGGATAATATTTTCTTGATTAAAATATTGAAGAATATTAATTCTCACTTTCTGTCTTCAATGGTTAAAATAAAATTTATCATCCTGATGTTGGGGTTTATACAACGTTAAATGTACAGTTTCAACTTGTGACAATTGTAAACATAACAATAAACATTTTACTTATTATAAATATTTAAGCTCAGCAAAGTGCTTTTAAAAGAGCCATTCAATACAAAAATGACGTATAAAAAGGAATATTTATTTAGTAGCGTAACGTTTCCTCTTAATTCTCAAGACATCATCAGACAATATTGAATTACAAG